TCCATAAAGGCATCCATGTCCATGTCCTCGAAGTCCATTGAGTTATCAAAACCATCTTCCGAACCACTATGAACATCCAACTTGCACATTCGCTCGATCGCGGGAGTGATTCCAGCACCACTTGTTGTGCGTGGCTTCTTCTTAGGGCTCATCATGGTCGAAAGGTCGTCTTCGAAATCACTTGATGGCAGGCTGAAAGTAGTATCGTCTATGAGACCATCAGAGGAATCGCAGTTTATATCTTCATGATCTGATAACGGAGAGGGCTTGCGTTTCTTTGGCCTCCTTGCAGCTGGAGCTGAGACGGCATCTAAGCCTCCAAGAAGATTGGCCATGAAGTCTTCTTCCTGCTCTGTTGAGACAGCTGGGCGGTACACGCTGATGGAGGGCTTAGCAGTGGGTGGTGGTGCTTTCGGCTTCGCTTTAGGCTTGGATGCAGCATCCTTGCCCTTCTTCGCTGAAAAGCCAAAGTCGGATATTATAAGTATAGACATGCAATCAAACTGACCCTTCTTTTTCTTCTTTGTTTCGTACTCGTCGTCTTCGTCTTCGTCATCTTCGTCTTTCTCCGCGCCCGTCCAGTCGTCCATCCCATTGTCCATATAACCGCTCACGCCGTCGTCCACGACAAAGTCATCCTTCTGTAGTCTCCCTCGCACAATTTTCTTATACTGGTCCTCAGTGACCTCATCATAGATAACCACATCCTCTTGAGCCTGTGAAGACGCGTTCGAGATACGGTTTCAAGCCAAATGGCAATATCGCACCTTCCACTTGCGCGCGCCTCCTTCACGAGTTCGTTTTAGTTCCGCAAGAGCAGAAAGTCTATCTGCACGCTTTGCCCTGTCCGACATTAAGCTGTGGTGGACGTGTTCGATGATGAGCTCGACTGTGCGCGTCTTGCGATCTATTGACGCGTTTTCCCACTCCGCCAGAAACGCGTGGTGTCACATGTCACAGCTTACAGTAACGTACCGTGAGTCCGTGACTTAGACTTGTCACAGACCGGTACACTTGGACCGACTTAGCGGGCGGTGCACACTGCAGTAGCTAGTGGTTCTGACCATTAACTTGCTCCATGTCACAATCGAAGGAACTTGGGACGCTAATCGTAGTAATCCTCAAGGCTCGTCATCTGCATCAACCTTCTTTCTACAAGCAAGATCCATATGCGCAAGCATCTCTTTCCGGCCAGACTCAACGGACCAAGCCAGAGCCCAAGGGCGGGCAGCATCCTGTGTGGGACGAAGAATTCCGCTTTCCTGTTCTTGTAGATCCTGGTAAAGACAGTGTCAACAGAAAGCTGGAAGTGTCTTGCTGGAAGGATGAGCCTCGATCTGAGGATAAGCTCTTAGGCAAAGGGATCGTCGATATCGAATCGACTCTGAAAACGGGTGAATTCGATGGTGAGAGACTTATAACCTTGGCTTGGTGTATGCTTAAACTATCTCATTAGACTGGGTTCCTCTCGAAACCTCAGGCGGAGCGAGAGGCGAATTATACCTTGAGATGACATTCTATGCAAATGGTCCTCCCCCTCTTAATCGTCGTCCGTCGAAAATCAAACAATCAGATCGTCTTACACGGCCGCAGTCATATAAGCCTGTACCACCCAAGGGTGGACCGCCATCTGCGCTGAACCCCACTCCTGTGCAGCTTCGTGACACAGGCTATATCCCCCCTAGTACACTACCTGCATCTTTACTTCCTGCTAGAGGTCAGCCCAATGCCTCATCACAATCCCCTTCTCCCCCCGACCGACAGTCTCCGAAGATCAAAACTGATGTGCTCCCCCCTCTTCCCGAAGACGATTTAGTACCCCAGAGAAAGCCTGGTCATCTACCAACTATTCTGCGGCCAGGGATTGCTGGACGTGCTGGTCGTTTTGGGACTTCTGCTTCAAATAATGGAGGCGCGAGCGACTCGCCCTTGTTCTACGCGACTCCACCGACTCCAATATCATTGTTACAGACACCTGTCCAAGAACGTCCTTATGAGTTTTCTCCAGAACTTCCAGGAGTTCGCACACCCTTGGTTATGACAGACGATCCGCTGAGTGAGCATTACCAACACTCGCTTCCTATAGCACAACCCCATACGCCGGAACCACAGCCTCATCGTGAGCAAGGACAATCGCAATCCAATCATTACCTGTCGGGCCAAGCTCACCAACAATATTCTCCCTCGTCGCAAGGATATACTCCCCTTCAACAAACACTTTCTCCGCCTCTCCAACAATACGCCCCCTTGTCGCAAGGATATGTTCCTCCTCAACAAACAACATCTCCGCCTCCTCAATTATATCAGCAATCTTATACCCCCCATAATTATGCGCCATCGCCCTCACCACAACCACAGCAATATGTGTCATCTTCTCCGCAGCCTCACCAGTATCAGCTTCATCAGACTCCGTCTCACATCCCACAATATCAGCCCCCGCCACCTCCTCATCAAGCTCCGGCTCCCGCACCACAATATCAGCCACCACCATCCCCTCATCCCCAGAGCTACTCGGCTCAACCATACCAACCTCCACCACTTCAGTCATACACTCCACTTCCCAATCAGCAACTATATTCCCCTTCACCACAGCCGCAAGGATATGCTCATTTAACCCAACAGCAACCTCAGTCACACACACCTGCACCACCTCAGCAGCAGCCATACCAACAACAATCCTATTTCCCTCTGCCTCCCCCTGTGCAATCCCCAGTTCCTCCTCCCCAATCTCAACTTCTTCCCAGAGCACCATATTTTTCTCCGCCGCCGCCGCCACCGCCACTCACTGGAAGCCCACACGGGACCCCGGCAGTAGCACGAGGCGAACAACAGTCTCCTCCTGTGCAAAGATATCAGAATGCCGCGCCGACTGTCTCACCGGCACTTGGTTTGGGAGTCACTCCAACTTCCCTTTCCCAGAATCCCCCAAACCTGCCTCCTGCCTCTTCTTCCGTACCTAGAGTCCCAGAAGACCAAAAGAAGCGCGAAGAGGAACGCACCCAGGATGAAGGACGACGGAAGGTGGTGGGTGAACAGAAGGCTGTTGAGGAGGTAGATTCACAGAAGCGCGAGGAAGAGGAAGCACACCCTCAAGCTGCTGAAGAAGAGAGCAGGCGACAGGAGGATGAAGAACTGAGATGGAAGGACGCTGAGGAACAAAAACGAGGTGAGGAGGAACGATTGAAATGGGAGACGGAACAGAGACAGAGAGAAGAAGAGCAACGGCGACGAGAGGAGGAAGAGAGACTGAAACGAGAGGAGGGGGAACAACAGCGACGAGAAGAGGAAGAGAAACTGAAACGACAACAGGAAGAGAGACTGAAACTAGAGGAAGAAGAACGGCGGCGGCGAGAGGAGGAAGAGAAAGTCAAACGGGAGGAAGAAGAAAGACTCAAACAAGAGGAGGAACGTAGAAGAGTCCAGGAAGAACTGCGCAAGGCAGAAGAAGCCAGACGTAAACAAGAAGAAGAGGACCGGATAAGACGCGAGGCGGATGCGCGTCGAAGGGACGAAGAGGAGCGTCGGAAGCGCGAAGAGGAATCGCGTCGGAGGCATGAAGAGGAGCGGAACAGGCGAGAGGAGGAAGCACGTCGCAAAAGGGAAGAAGAGATTCGTCGCAAACAGGAAGAGGAGGCCCGTCGCAAACAAGAAGAAGAGGCTCGTCGAAAGCGTGCAGAAGATATTCGTCGCAAACAGGAAGAGGAGGCTCGTCGGAAGCGTGCAGAAGAAGAGATTCGTCGCAAACAAGAAGAAGAGGCCCGTCACAAACGGGAAGAAGAGGCTCGTCTGAAGCGTGCAGAAGAAGAAGCTGAACGGAGGTGGCAAGCTGAGCTTGCTCGCATCAAAGCGCGCGCTGATCAGGAGGCTGCCGACGCTGCTTTTGCTCGTGCTCAATTTGAAGCGGAAGAAGCCGAGCGTCGCAGGCAGGAAGAAGCAGATCTTGCCTTTGCACGGCGTGCACAGGAAGAAAGCGAGCGAGAGTACAGGGCTGCTGAGGAACGGCGACGGCAAGAAGAATTGGACAGTGAGCTTGCCCGTCGTGAGCAGGCGCATGAGGAGGAGCGTAGGAGGCAGATGGAGGAAATGGACAGGGAAATGGCTAGGAAATTGGACTTTGAGCTAAACCTTGGAACGGAGGGTGGTAATGCGAGTTCCCGGAGGCCGTCTACGACTCCAGAGCTTCCTGCTCGCAGAAGAGCGGGTAGTCCTAGGAATGCTTCTGGAGGGCGGTAAGTAAAACGTAATGTTTCAGGCATTCACGACGCGAGTGGAGATACATAATGATTCAGATACAGTAAATATGACCTTGCTATGTTTTCATAATATCAGTGATCTTCTTGAAAGAGCGTCCAGGATGCCTCAACTTCATGAGTCTGCGTTCGTCACATACTCCTCTCGGTAATCGAAGCCCGATTAATTGTTCAACTAGCCTACCAGATCGACCATCTTTTGTACGACCAGAAGTCGTTCATCATACGTTTTTCATTTGGAATAACTATATATGCAGCATCTGGCATTTGTTCATTTAGAAACACTAGACAAAAAGATGGCAGTTGGACTGACTTCAGAAAGAAAGGTACCATCATGACTAAGTGTCTTCATCCCTATTGTAGGCCTAAAGCAGTTCCATACATGTGGGAGTGCTCCTGGCTGCTGCCAGGACTTCTGTGCTGACGAATTTTTCTGGAACTATCATGTTAGACAAGGTTCACTTTCACAACAAAATTCTCAAGTAGAGATGTACCTGCGGCTCGGAATTTACCTAGAATAATGATAAGAGCCTACATCGGCCGTCATGAATTACTGTCATGACAGTGACTGCCTGCATTGGAGTGGCGTGTGTACCTTACGATGTAGATACGCACGATAGGGAGCTCAGTCCCCCATCTCTGACGGACGACACGTCTCCGGGGGATACGCTCACGCTGGGCTATTTGCGAGTCCAAATGTTGCAGAGGCACCCCTTGAACTAGTTAGTATTGTCCAACATAATGTACATTTGTCCCAATGGATAGAAGTCGGAATCGAAAAAAAATAATACCACGTGTATTCAAGGGTGAACAATGCAACTCCGAGGCAGGCCTTAAAAGAAAATAAAACTTCGTGCCACTGCAACAACTTCCTCGTCTACATCTGAAAGGCATTTTTTCCAGCACATAAAATGCAAATATCAACCACCAGTCCCTCAGCTGCCATGTACTCGACAGACAATGACCGTGTCGCCAGTCAGAACCACATCATACACAAAACGCCCACCTGCACCTACACCATACATTGTGGCAGGTCAGAGTGTCCGGCCGTTTTCGTGTATGACGATGGCACTGACTGGCCCACAGTCAACTGCCTCGTTAATGACCATTATCTGGTCTGTACAGGGCGCTTGCATGGGCTCTCCCCTTCACGTCCCCCCCACCGACACCCAAGGCTCACAGTACGCGCCGAGCCTTGCACAGCTTACTCCCGGGAGCTGGGGTGTCAATAACGGCAATCGCGATGACTTCATCATCGGGAGCTCTAGCAAGCGGAGACAAAAGGAGGATGAGCGGAAAGAAGACCTGGAGAACGACGAATACACCGACGATGTACAGCCTACATCCGTCCGGTGCCGCGGATGCAGCAAGATCATCTGCCTTGACAAACGCTCCAGGTACTACCCCGGACTCTGGATCAAGCACCGGGGCAAATGCCGTGGTATCCTCAAACTAGAAGTGAGCTCATTTCTATTACGAATGGAATGTGGAACTAACTAAATTTTATAGAACGACAAGCTAACCAGTAGAAGAGACTGGTTTAGGTCGTCGCATCCAGAATGGCGCCCGCCAGCCGCCAGCTCAATTGACGCGAGCGGTGAATCTTCAGAAGAGGACGAGGAAGAAGTGTTCGGTTTCAACAGTGAGTCGGTTCTTCATGGGAGTAAACACTATGATTCACTACAAACTCTAGTGCGCCTTTCTATGGCCTGCTGGGAGAGGGAAGTAAGATAATTGGCATACCGATACGCCAATACGAGGGATGGAGAAAAGGTACAGCCAGGTTGGATCCTATATACTGTGTGTGAGTGTTAAACGCGAAAATTCAGAATGTGCTTATCAATTCTTCGCTTCGTGCACTTACTAGTATCGTCCACCCTTTGTCAACAATGTGTTGTGGATTTTGTTCAAAAACGAAATATAATCTTCCTTTGATGTTCCGCAGGATTTCAGTAATAAGATCATTAATCAGTAAGTCGTTGGCAGACGAAAAAGCATGGAAGACAGTAATCGATGACCGCACCAGGTGATCGACACTTAAGTGTTCGGAAGGAACCGGCACCGCTTCTTTGTCTTTGTGTTGCTTTGTCCCATCCTGCATTCCCAGGATCTACAGTTTTCGCGTTTCAATCATTAGACATGCTTATGCAAAACTTCCGGGACCAAGACCGTCAACGTGAAGCAGATTGTTGTCACTTCTCCGCGGTCGCGCGCGACCTGGCTGACCGTGATCCGGGGCATTAGCAGATGCAGTTCAGACCGCGAATTCGCTTAAGAATACAGCGGATATCACGCAGCAGTGGGAAAGTCAGCTGGGTGAACTGTGGGACCCATCGTGATCATGATCGATGCACTGGACAAGAGCGGCGGAGTAGAGACACGGAGCTAGCGCCTGACATGAAGACCTTGTGAATTCACTGCTGCCGGAGCTGACTCGAGTCCTTACCAGACTCAGTACTTTCTGAGCTCTGCGCAGCCCTAATCGCCACACTTGTTGCTTGCAGCAATATGATTTGCCTACCCCATCGGCCGAGGTCACTCTACCCCCTTCACTCTTGCGAAGAGCTCCGGCTGGCACGCTCACTTGGTCCGGGATGGCTATATCGAAGAGTGGATCACTGATTCACAGGCGCACCTGTGTATTCCAGTCATCTCGCTAAACGTCTTCGCAATCCCACTCCTTCCTCCCCCCCTCCCCCTTATCAATAGTATCAACGTCACTAGCAAAGAAGCTCGTACTGGGCTCTGCCTTGCAGGAATTCTGCTCCGTATTGCTCCACCAGAGCAGGCCGTATCTTGCTTTAGCACTGTCCCATTGGTGGAACTTGATGAAGTGTGCATGGTATATCGTCGAATCTTGCTTTTATGACGAGTTGGATGATGATATCGAGAGTGTTCCAGCTCTTATCAGGAGCAAGGAGTGGTACATTCCATCAGACACTTCGAAGATTGATCTCGAATCACACAATGAGTTGTCGGCCAAAACTCTTGATGTGTTGCGACAATAACAAATACCAGATGAGAGTATCATATCTGCAGTTGCGAGTTTAGTTCCAGGTGGTATGGACTCAAAGCTGGGGGTGTTTGGACTCGGAGACTTAAGAGGCTGATCTCGCTTTTGCCAGTGGGTCTCATAGATCTACATAGTATTTTATGGATTTCATTACCCTTTAGTATATAATCTTTGCATATAACATCACTTTAAATTTAATGTGGTAATGTATGCAATAACTGGCGAATCTGTATGTAGTCTAGTCTAGGTTCGAAATTTAAGGCATTACGCTGCATGCTTGGATGCAGAGAGAATGTCATCAAGAGCGATAGAAGATCGTTCGCACATTCCGCGGAATATACCATTTGGTATGGCGAAGAGATTAACAGGAGTATCGAATTCCTGAATAAATGGTCAGTACTGAATAAGCCGACTTAAAGACATGTGGACGTACAGCAATCGTCCCAGCATCCATCACGCATATCCTGTCATATCCAATGATAGTCCGGAGACGATCTACATATCTGATTCAAGCCAATGCAAAGCGACAAGTCTGCTCGAACTTACGTGCAATGCACAGGATTGCGCGTTCTTTAAACTCGTTAGCAATGGTATGTTGGATCTTGCTGTCGGTCTCGTAATCGACGGAAGCTACATAGAAATCCATGAGAATGTATGCGCTACCAGTGTAGATATCAGACTTACCCGTAGCCTCGTCAAGAATTAGGATCTTAGTGTCATTCACGAGAGCTCTCGCAAGAGATACAAGAGAACGTTGTCCAATTGACAAATTACTGCCTTCGTCGTCGATAGGACTGTCAAGACTAAATCTAGGCGCCGACTGCCCTTCAGCAGGGGGCGATGTCGTAAAAGGAAGATCACTGTTTGACTCCACAAGATACGCCCGCTTCATTGCATCATAAAGCTTGGCGTCATCGTGTAGCCCGAAAGGATCAAGGTTGGTCCGGAGAGTACCAGAGACTATTCAAACGGTCAGTTAACAGGTTTCCATATTTGGCGCGTTATCACGCACAAAGAAACTGCAGCATGTCGCATATTCAGCTCAAGTGTGAACAAAAGCTACGCATTCCACTTACCGCATCCTGAGGGATAATCGATAACTTTCTTCTGAGCTGTGCTAAACCAACGGTCGAAATGTCCACGCCATCTATGGATATCGACCCAGATGCTAGTTCCACCATGCGATAGATAGCGGTCATAATGGATGATTTCCCAGCACCAGTCCTGCATCCCATAAGCTACAGGAGTTACATATAACAAAAAGATACTCACCGGCCAACGACACCAATCTTCTCTCCAGGAGAGAGAGACATACTCAGGCCCTTCAGAACAGGTGGTAACTCTGGGCGGTATTTCATAACCACATCCTTCATGACGATTTCGCCACGAGAAGGCCAGTCGGCTGGCGCAGGGCTGTCTTCGACCTCATGCGCGGCCTCCTGTTCGACCTCTTTCGCATAGTGCACGACACGCTCCACGGAATTCATGTTGTTCTCAACCTCAGCAACTTGACGGACCATGAATGCGAAAGACTGAGTGGATCGTCAAATAAGACTCGAATAAAAGGGAACAACGGAACTACCTGTTGCATCATGACTATATACGAGAGTGTCACACCGGTTTGCCCCGGAGAGATGCTGAATCGAATTCCAACAGTCAATAGTGCGACGGCGAGAGTCAGTAACGCGCCGAGGAAATCAAGACGTATGCCAAGCCATCGCTGATTGACGACCGTCAGCCAGTAAGCACTGAAAAACATCAACAATGATCAAGATCGCGTATAATTACAGTTCTTACCGATTCTCGACATCCATGAGTTGAATATTTTCTAGGCGGAATCGGTCGAATTCGCCGTAAGCGCGAATGGTAGTCAAGCCCGATAATGACTCAGAAAAGTGGGAATAAAGCGAGGATCGCAGGAGTGCATCCAAACGCTGTGAACCTCTGCGTCGGTAGAAATTCAACAAACTTCATCAAAATGACCGACCTTCAACTCACGTGCACTCGCACGGTAGAATAATGCAGCATAGTAATAGCAGATTAAGATGAAGAAGGCCACGATAAGGAAATATGGTATGATGATGGATATGAGAATGATTGCCCCGATGATTTGTGATGCTGTTGATGCGAGCATCCTGAAGGAATCTGAAAACGCAGGATTTATTCTCATCAGAAATGATCCACGAAAGAATTTCGATGCACAAGTGCTCACCGCCCACTAAATTATCCACAGTATCGATATCTTCCGATTTGTGTCAGAAATGAAAATACGGGTGGTCAAAACCTTTTCAAACTTACCTTTGGTAAAGCGATTCATAATGCGGCCTAAAGGCGTTGTCTCGAAGAAACTCATCGGGGCATACATGACTCGCTGAATTGATCTCTGACGAATGGTATTAGAATTAGCATCCACCAACACGTAACAAGGCACTGACCCCGTGCAACTGCTGGGAAGCATAGTAAGTGAGTAGTGCAAGTACACCTCCCATCATGAACATTGTCAACGCCTGGGAGACACCAAGAGCGGCGTAGATGCCGGTCTGCATTGACAACCATCAGTAGAGCTTCGGTGTTGCGCAACAGAAGAACTCACATAAAATCCTGCCGACTGGTGCCATTTGCTATGGGAGTAGTGAGCACATCAATTTATGAGGGTCTGTGACATTCACGCACTCTTCTTCCCAATATATGAGCCTAACGAGCTACATTAGTGAAATGACTACGAGATGTGGAAATCACATACCAATATGAAGACATGACACTGGAGCCTTGCATGAGGATTACAGAGAGTAGAAACAGCGGCAAGAGCACAGGGCCGTGAGCTGCTGCGAGATACTCTCGGTATACTTGCCGCTTTATGGAACCAGTATTGCGCTCTTCCTCTTGCATCATCGCTTTCCCAGCGGTTCCTTTCTGAATCTTTATGTCTTCAATCTTCGCACCATCCGCTGCCTTCTCTTCTTTCTTCGTAGAATCCTCCTTTGACCCAAATTCCGACACAAATTTAGAGAATGCACCGTCATTAGCCATGAGTTCGGCGTATGTGCCACGTTCGGCAATGCGCCCGTCAACCAGGGTATATATAAAGTCGACCTCAGGAAGAAAGTGGAGGGCATGGGTAACCAGGATGCGAGTTTTGTCTGCATTTTTCTTCAATACATTCTGGAATACTGCCTTTCCGACGTGTGCATCTAGAGCAGACAGTGGGTCGTCGAATATCTGGATGTCGGTATTGCAATAGATCGCGCGACATATGTTGATACGCTGCTTTTGGCCACCAGAGAGTGAGATACCCTATGGAAAAGCATCAGTTAGTAGTCCTGTAAGACGAAGAATAGACATTGCCTTCTCGCCAACTTCTGTAAGGTCGTGATTGGGCAACATATCCAAGTCAGGCTCTAAGCATGCATCTCGAACAGCCTTCCAGTAACGCTCCTCTTCAAATGGACGACCAAAACAGATGTTTTCCCGAATGGTTGCATTCTATTTTTCTCTGAGTCACCGATGCCAAGACTAATCAGCAAACTCACCTGGATCCAAGCGATTTGGGCACAATAACCAACGGAGCCACCGAATTCAACATTGCCAGAAGTCCGCCGCATTTCGCCGACCAAACCTTGAAGGAGGGAGGTTTTTCCTGCGCCGACAGCACCAACGATGGCAACGAGTTGGCCCCGTGGAATTTCCAAGTCAATGTCCGTGACTTTGAAGATATTTCCATCATCTGCAAGAGCTGGTGGAGGTGTTGAAGGAAGCTTTCGCTTGCCCGCATTCATGCCCATCTTGCTGCTCTTGGCCTTCTTTTTGGGATCCTCGGGCCGACCATCCCAAGTAAAGCTGGCACCTTCAACTCTGACGGCGGCATTCAGGTCGCAATTTATGGCGAGGATCTCGTCAAGCGTTTCTGCTTCGAACACAGCCAGCAGTCTGTCGCATGCTGTGGCTGCGTCAGCAATGCTGCTCAGAGACAAGGCTGGAAAGATATGTGAGATTACGAACTGCAAATAACAATAAATGACACACGTAAGAACATTAAAGGCAAGCGGGCCAAGTTGAACAGAGTCAACGAAGTGAATATATTTGCCGCTGTAAGACTGTGTCCGGTCAACGAATATGTGACGAAGGCAATGACAGAAGCGAGACTCGGGAGAGAAATAGCAACGGCGTTCATCGCGGATTTGATGATCAGGAGGGTGCGGATATATCTGGATGGGGTATAAATAACAAAGACCTGGGCAATAGATGGCATATTCACGTACGCCATCTCATTCTTTCGATAGTCAGAAATACGCTTCAGGAATGGAACTTCCCAGGAAAAAAACTTGATGACACGCATGCCGCTGAGGACCTCTTGTAAAGTCTTGGAACGCTTGTCTGTCCACGCCATGCTTTTCATGCGAAGGGAAAAGAGACGTTTTACAGCATAGGTCTGGATGGGCGTCGCGACAAGGAGAAGCGCAAAACCGGCGAGTGCACTCGGGCCGAGATTGATCAATAACAAGACCAGGCAAATAGTGAGTTGAATCAAAGCTGTCCATGACATGTGGAAGTAGCCCATGCAGAAATCTATCCGGGAGACATCAGTGGATATGTGGTTGACTAATTCGCCATTGCTTAATTTGACGCGAGCTCTCGCGGTGAGTTGAAGTGATCTCGAGTATATCGCTGTGATAAGACCACCACGAAGAAGGACACCGCTGGTCATGCTACGGTAGTAGAAGTGATTGCTGCACCATGACGCGATGAGTAGTAAAGCCAGTAAGCAAAATGAAAGGCCAATTCCCTGCCCAATTGAAGGCGTTTTTTGACCAGTTAGATGGTTTGTGTAAGACACCGTGGCAAAATTAATGATTGCCTACAGACACCAGCATGAATGATTGGGGAAGAAATGTCGTGGAAAAGTTCTGACCTTGACGACAAGGGGACTAGTGATTTGTGCTGTGTCACCGATGACTTTCAAAATGCCAGCAGACCAAAACCACCAAAAGACGCTGTCATTCATTGCTAAAATGAGACTTGCCTTGCGTTTTCCGTCCTTTTCCCTCCATTGCTTCTCGCGTTCTGTGCGGACGCCCTTTATGGACCACCATAACCCCTTCAACCCCGGGCTAATTTCACCCTTGGCCAAACGCTCGTTGTATTCAGCAGCCTTCTTTTGCCGAGTCTTGAACGATACTAAAATAGCTTCGGCAATTGGCAATGCGCCGTGCTCTTCCCGGAGTCGATAAAGGTCTGATGACTCAAGTGGGCGAGCATAGCCAAGGGAAAGCAGAGGCGTTATCCAGGTGAACCATAGAAGACTGGCGAAGCCAGCCGTGGCTTCAGGGATGAGGTCTGCGTCATGGATGGATTTCTTTGGGGGAGGAGGGCTACTATTCCTCCGAAACAGAGACAACCTAGGAGAGATGGTCAATCATGTGATGGCGGAAGGTGGAACGCGAATTACTGGTAGGCCAGAAGCCTACAACTGCAGCCTCGAGACAAGTTGGGAGTACTTACCGAGATATGAACGACTGGATAGTTCGACCATTGTCTGACACGGACTCCGACTCAGATACCTGAGTCTTCTCAGAGGTATCGAGGTCAACATCTTGGAATGCTGGTTCGGTGGGGGCCATGAGGCTGTGCATAAAGAAAAGAGATGCTAACCTGGAACCTGGCAATCGGACTGTCAAGTACTCTAGTCCATGTGCAAGTTTTGGGCCTAACAGTAACACTAATCCACGCAAGCTTGTCATACTGCTGACAAAATTCTCGGGCCGTCGCTTAAAATAACCTACTAAGCTTGATCGAAAATGATGCAGGGTATTATATGAGCCTAATTTAAACGTTGCGATCACATATAGCTTATTATGTAATGGCATGGCGCAGTGCTGCAAATGCAATCAAAGAAGCAAGCAGGGGACTAATCATCATATGCGACTCATCGCGAGCAACATCAATCCTCTACAAAAGCCCGCCGACGTTAACGTCGGCCAGTTAACAGGGTTACCGGAAACTACCGTGTGTACGCGTCCCGGAGGCTCCGCAGAGATGTCTGAAAGGGTGCATCTATCGTTGGCACACCGCGGAGATAATAGATTATGTGTACTGACCTCGTACGCCGATAAGAGTGAAACCGTGTCTTTCTCTGATATTCTCATTCGTCGGACCCTTTCCAGGTGACCGGCGCTTCTTAACATAGATTTGAAATAATGTGCCTAAATGTTCCATGAGCGAAAATGGCCTATGTTGGTCTATCAAGTGACATACCTCCTGTTCTTCAACCAACGTCCAAGCATCTCCAGTTCTCCCTGCTCGAGCAGTTCGACCAACCCGGTGTACATATTTTCTTATATCCACCGGTGCGTCGTAACTGACTACGTGTGATACATGGCTGATGTCGATACCTCTTGATATCAGATCTGAGCATATGAGCCTAAAGTCTGGTTAGTACATCAGGCCCCAGAAACAAAATGCGTTGAACTTCCAAATGGATCTCTTGGGCCTTGAATTTCTCTAATATGGTCCTGCGTTCGTTGGCCGGAAGATCACTCGAATATGACCGAACGACAATTGGATTTCCGCTGGAGATAGCAGCCTCAAAGAATTCGAACAAACGGACAAGACGAGAGGCCGATTCGGACGACTTTGTGAAAACAAGTGCATTGCGGACGGAATGATTGTGCACAAGATGGAAGAGCATTAATGGTTTTTGAGGGGCCTCGCAGATTATCATGTGTTCCTTGTGATTTATGAGTGAGCTTCTGGTAGGATTGAATTTGTTGTCAGGTACCTTTAGTGCTTCGGGCATGGTAAACCGTTCTGCGATAATATTGGGAATACCATCGATTTCTGATTCTTCAGATAGACCTTGCACTACAAAGTACTTTGGATTTCGGAGGTCCAGGGCCGCGAGCTTTCCTGGGTCACTGGTGAGTGTTGCGGAAAACAGTAATTTTTGACATGAGGCATGTTTCTTTTCATCAATGTCGGTGTGTAAGTCTACTTCCCTGTGGAGGTGAAGAAAAGCGGGGGCAAGAGAATCGCAAAGGAGAGTTGGGCTTTTGGTTTCAGTTGTCTCAGGGGTCATCCTGGGAGATGGTTGCGTGGCGGCAAGAACTTGAGCCAGCCAGTCTTGGAATGATTGAGCAAGCAATCGATCTGCTTCATCTATCACCTAGCAAAAGAGGCGATCATTCAAGAAAAAGTATGATAAACCAAAAAGGCTGACCAAGAACCGGAGGTGTTGTAGAGAAAAGTTGGGTGTTCCGTTAAGGTGATCAATGAGGCGCCCTGGCGTACAGATCAAAATATCAACTTTACTCGATCCACCAGAGAGTCTTCCGAAAACGTCAGTACGGGTACAAAGCACAGGTTGGTATCCATACTTGGCTGACGTGTCCGCAACTAGTTGCGACTGCTCGTGAGCGAATGAGTGTTGTCCAGTGGCTGAACCAATCTAGGCACAGATTCGAAATGTAAGCTGACTGAGGATCAGACAAAAGCAAGCAAACCTTCAAACCTCGTCCTTTTGCAATCGCCTCTAATGTTTCTCGAACTTGCATGACTAGATCACGCGTCGGGAGAACGATGAGAGCACGGAGATGAGTTACAATTTTCGTTGACAGAATCTGACCTCATCGAATCAATCAAGACTTCCGAAAATTGCACGAGTCGTTACCTCGACAATTGGGAGCACATATGCGAGTGTTTTTCCGCTTCCAGTTGGCGCGGAAACACATACATCCCGTAACAGGTCAAACGGTTCGTACAGTGACCTTCGCGTGGTGGAAGAACCTAGCAGAAAAGGGAGAAGTGCAGTCTGGACTGTAGAGCTGTCAGGATATGTGTGCAAGTGGATTAACGGATCTTACCAGCAAATAGTTGAGTAATCCCTAGTTCTATGAGGCGCCTTCTCGTCCTTTCGGATAAACCAGTGCGAACATCGTCTCCTTCGGGTATTATGGGTAGTCGAGAGGAGGGATTGACAACTTCAGCTTCAACTAAAGCTTGATCAAGACCTTGTAAAGCAAGTATCGATTTAGGCGGCGCGTCAGGTAAAGTCGGAAGGGAGAATACTGGAAGAGACATCTGCGGTTCAGGGGGCTTGAAAGTTTGAATTCGCGACGTGGCGGCTGGGGGGGAGAATCTACTTTGTGATAATCATCGGTTATTACGCTCTCAGGCTGTTAGTGATCATGACGGTCCACTATTTCGTAACTTTTGTTTCAATTTTAAAAGTAATGCTTAGCTACTTCACAGCTGAGCATGTTTTACATACACATAACATATTCCAAGTGAAACAAAACAAATACGTTGAGAAATTAATGGTAGAGATCATGTTTTCAACAGGACAGCAGCAAAAAATCACGACTGCCGTGGCTGCCGATGTCGGACATTAAATTTGGCAACCAGTCTGAGCAAGGCCAGTGGAAGGGGATACTTAGTTGTGAGCGCTCGGCTGGGTTCACGGGATATCGCCAAGGCGCATCTACCGAGTCCCGACCCCAACTATGAGCCCAGGATCCAGGTCACCCTCGCGGGTTTTGCAAACGACACCTGCAAGTAGCTGTACACGAGGCATGACCACGTATTTTTCGAGTCCAATTTTGTTGTCCAGGTCACTCAGCAGACTTTTAAAGCTTAAAGACTAATGCAAGAGTCTGCATGTGTCTCGAAGGGATTTTTAAAGTCGCTGCAGCTCCTCCAGCTGTAGAGGGAGCTGTCAAGGATTGATTAGCTCATCTCGCGCATTGATGAAGACATCAAAACGAAGATATTCGATGGCTTGCTTTCATCGTACAAACGCAAGGACGACCTCATCACTATCGCCTGTGCTCTTTCGCAGCTCGCTGCCCAGAGATGGGACAATGATTGATCTGATTGCACGAATAAAAGAACATCTTACAGGAAATCCTGACTGTCAGTCAGCTAAGGTTTGCAGGACTTCTTGTGGGCAAACAAACGAGTGCCGCCGCGGCGTCGGCAGCTTCAATTTCAAGTCAACCGCAGAGTTTGGCACAAGAACTTCCTGCAACCTCTGGTTCCTCACAGCCTGGGCACGCGCTACCACCACATTTTATGTATCTGCCATCTCACTGGTGTCAGTATTCCCGCATCACATCCACCTCAAGAAATTTCCAACCCTACCTTCTGTATCTGTACCATTTCCGTTGGACGGCACGCGCTCTTGGCATTGTAATATATTGGCATGAAGGTCCAGAACGACGACAGCCGACAGTTGTCGCACTCTTGGGATATAAAGAGACACTTTTGAGGAGTACAAGGTGAGCATTTGTTGGTTTTTAAGTCCTTTGTCTGATACTACTCCTCATTGAAGTTCTATACTCATGACTGAATTCTACTACGACTGCGCTACATACAGTCACTACCGAACTGGGACGTGGCAACTATACCCTGGGATCACACAGAAGTTGGACGTCCATCGCACATTTCGCAGCTCGATCCTGTCATTCACACTCTTCGTCGATTACTTCCATCTCCATCTGTTTTGCTGTGCTTTATACTGACATATGATATGATATTCCATTGACCTACGGTTTGGTTTTTCGCATAGAATATCTTATCGGGCAATTTGGAAAATGTTTTCTCAAAGTCAGGTATATGATAATCCGCATTATTTTACTCTATATCGCGTGATTATCAAGAGATACGAGACGTAACAGGCGTTGAGCATATGCTATCCAAGTTATTACAAATGTCATCTTCCGCACCCACCACCTCTGTCAGAGACAACCTAATTTATGCAATGACACTGACTTCTAAAGGCATCTGGACACCTTCATGCATCTTGCCCTCAACCATAGGGGCCATGAGTCCAGCATTCAATCGAACGATCTCGACACCTTCGGGGAATCGGTACTCGAAGTTCTCGACAAGCTCCACGAGCACGGCTTGCATCTCCAGAACTCTGTAGTTCACGAGTGAGTCTAATGGTCAGTATCTTTGATCATGAACTCACGCAAAACGCCAGCTAGTCACAGAAAGATGAGAATCAATAATACTACTCGTTGACTGTTTCGCTTACCCGATGCAAGCACGGAGACCAGCCGCTTTGGTTTACAACACGTGAGATTGGCTTTTGAGGGAGCAAGAACTTTAAATAGCTTACAGAAAGTCATTCTGAGAGTGTCAGACTAATTTAGCTCACGAGAGAGTGTAATGAATGAAGATACACACAGATTGGCGAAAACTCCCAACGATGACTTTTCCCTGTCACTGTCCAGGAAACGGCTTGGGTTCCACGCGTCTGCATCTTCTCCCCAAACACTTTTGAGCCTGGGAAATATAATCTAAGTTACAGACCAAGTTAACTCAATAACCAATCGAACCAACCTGTTATAAGTGCAAATAGATGCTGTGATGCCTTGACCTTTCGAGATGGGTATTTCATTGATAATCTTTCCTGATCTGGTCTCAATTGGCTGAGAAAGTGGTATAACATCGTCTGAATCTGCTTCCCGGAGCAATGTAGGAACTATAGGATGCAATCTGAGTCCCTCCTTGGTGATAAATGAAAATGAGAATAGTATGTTGGAAACAAGCGGTGGACAGACTTTAATAACTGCATTAGTGAAATCCATATTATTAAAATCACTGGGCAGCAAATCATCATCGCCACGGGCTGCCGCATTCGTTCTGGCTGCTTTAATCTCGTCACGGATGCGCTGCTGATCCTCCGGGTGCTTTGAGAGCTCATATAGCAGCCATGTGAGAGATGAGGCGGTAGTATCATGACCCGCGACCAGTAAGGTGCTAGAATATGGCAATTAATAACTGGCATATCATTTGCGATGCCATCTATCACTCACGCTATCTGCGACAATATTTCTCTCTCACTCAGCTGAGCTCGTGCATCTTCCATGAGGTTGGACTGTACTGAGACACCGAGGCTCGTGAGTGATCATACATGAATCATACCTCGGCGGGGAACATACCAAGGATGCTGATGATGTCCTTGCTGCCCTTTTCGGTACTAGCTGCTTTTTCGTTGATGATGGTCTTTCCTGTTTGAATGGCTGTTTGCAGGTATGTCGCGAAACGGCGGTACTCTTTGTAAGGCAAATACTTCAAGTACTTCAAAACCGGTTGAGGGATAAATCTCCAGGTTGACTTGAAGATGATATCCCATGAAGATTGGTTCAACAGCGTATCGATGCTAAATTCGTGTGTTAACATAGGACCTGACTCAGAAAATTGCGAGACATACAACAGATTGTTGAACGCCTGCACCAACTCGTTATCTACTCCGTTGTCGTTCAGGACACCGAAGCGGTAGTCAAAAGCCACTGCAATCCATACACATGAATTGAACACCTATGAGACAAATTTCGAGTACACACCTTCGCCAATGACATCCAACGTCATTCTGGACAAAGTCTCACCGACGTTCATTATACATCCATCGGACTTGTCTCCTAATTGGACCATGTCTTTCCACTTCTGTGAGAGCTAAATAAAAACATAAGCGGCCAGGTTTCCATGAAACTTCTTGACTACCTTACCCGAACTGCCGAACGGCGAAAAACAGGTAAAAATGTTCGAAGTTGAGCAGCACCAAAAGCAGGATTCATGATCTTTCTGTGCCTTTGATGATCAACGGCTGAAAGATAATGAGTTGTGTACTACTAAGACAGTAAAGGTAAAAAACGCACCGTCTGCAGTCAAAATACTCTCCCCCGTGAAGAGGCGCGTCGTTTCAGTGGCGGTGGTTCTCTTTGAAAACCTATAACCAGACGTATGAAAGACATATTGCAGAGCACGGGGGTCAGCGGTCCAGAGAACTTCCTCCTAATGCAACTCGTGAGTGGTGGAATGTCGGAAGACTTAGTGACATTACCCCTAAACATCCTTTAACCATCCAAGTCGGACCGTATTGGCGAGCCCATTGAAATTCCAGGTCCCCCACCTGTTTAGCGTTTCGATGTACTTTCTCGCTTCCTGCAGATGTATATGAGGCATGTCCGCGATTTGAAAAGAAGATTGAGTGTCACCTAGCCAGAATGAGTGCGAAGCAGGCCCACGGATGTCTTTCAAAGTGTACCGCTGTGTGTTACGCCAAGCTATGTAGGCAATCAATGCAACTAAGCAGATAGCTACACCAGATATCATGATCACAGATTGAGTTGACAGTTATGAAAGGCCAAAATCTATCCCTTTAGTACATTTGTGCTCCAACGGCTGTGGGAAGATGATTTCCCGACGGCTATACTGTTTATTGATACATATGGAGATATGCCACAGTGGGAAGCACTGGGGAATCGTGGCTCAGACAATGGAGAGTCCAAGTTGAAACTTGTTGATCGTAGATCTCCTCCATAGGACCATACAGATTCCGGCGGGACGCACGCGGCCGATGCGGCATCGTATATTAAGCTATGTTAATACATATTCGACAGGAACGCAGGGTTTCACAGGTCCCTACAAGTCCCACATGATATCTAACTCCTGAGAACAAACAGAGTCAGTGTCACATCCCGGCAGGTAACAACTTGCCTATCTAACTTCTGAGACCTGAGAACAAACTGACTGTCGCGGGTAATAATTATGATAGTACAGCTTGGCTTGCTGAGGGCCCGCGACAGAGAATCTGAAAGACATTATCAATCGACGGCTTTTTGTAATGCGGGGACAAGAGCAGGACAACGTTCGGCCGTTTGAGTAGGACACAACTGTAAGCTGTAAAAATGGTAGTTCAATTGAATACATGTTAGACCCGTTCAATAAGATGCATTAACTAGTAATTGCGACTTGATGAAAAAAGTCCCAAATCCTCGCAGTCCGTGGGTGATGAGGTGCGTTCCTTGAACTTGCCCGAAATCAGCATTCGTTCTCGCGGATGATCGCATTAACGCTAATTGCTCTATAAAAAATCCGGTTTTCAGCCTGTCCTTGCTCCATCCGATAGCGGCGTCCTCCGTCTTACGTTTGATTTCGACAGGTGGATCGTGGCCAATATCACCGGTCGAGCGGATGCGTCTTGTCCTCTGTACTTCTTAGAAAAGATGTTTTCCACCAGCATAGCACTGACTGATGGAACAGGTTCTGCACATGGCGCAAAATATGACAAAAATGGACCGGGTCCGGAACCCACGAGTCGTCATCTAGATGTTTGATCAAGCTCTCTTTGCTGATCGTCTCTGAAGGTTCGATGGCCTAGCGCTTGTGGGAGTTGTCTTGCTTGTAGTCAGAGATCCACTCACCCAGTGATCATTGAGGGAACATAGCTTCACCGGTACATGCGTCAGAGTATGCATACTAGCCGGATACTGCCTACATCTTGCTATCGGACATGGTTGAGCATCTGCTAGTCGTAATGCTAACAATATTTACCAGCAAACAATTCCTTAGACACACCTTTATATTGAATCAAAATTATGTAGCTGGCTTCATGATGAAACAACACTCAGCTACAACACAACCATGTAAATATGAATTCGATAAAACGATAAACTACTTACTGACAAGAAATGACCCACAATCAATGGTCTGTGATATGGTGGCGAACCATTTCACAATCCAGTATTATATAGTACTTGTTGTCCATACGTCCGAATCAGTCCGAAGCAAATAGTCTTTTAAGATAATCGGCCGCAGCCTGGCGCACAGATCCGTCTACCACCGGATTCGCCAATACATCTGTTGCAAGTTGGGCTCTGTGCTTGACATTAGCTGTCTCTTTTGTGTGCTCCCACTCGGCGGCTTCTCTTTCCAGTCTTGCACGCTCGGCATCTTTGCGAGCAGTACTGTCTCTTTCTTCCCTTTCCTCCCGTCTCCTAAGATACTCTAGCTTGAGTTTGCTGTGTTGAACCTGCGCTTGCAAAAGCTGCAAGCATGCAGCCATCATGTTTTGTGGTAAAGTAAAATTGATAACAGACGTATCACTGCTTGGCGACGGTACGTTGGGGAAGACGGCTCGACTTGGGGTACTTGATGGTCCTGCTTCCTGTATCGGAAGCTCGTTGGTATTAGTCTTATTTGCAATGGAGGGTTGTGATGTGAAAACGAAGGTAGGAGGGCGCGCTTGTGAATGAACTTGTTGAACTTGAGGTTGAGGATGAGATGGTGCGCTTTGAGGTTGAATCTGAGGTTGAAGAATTGGAATTGGTTCCGTTGCTTCTAATGAATCGTCATCGTCATCTTCGCCGCCGTGGGAATTGGTCGTCCCTGGGACGTTATTTTGGCGGTTTGCGGGTCGTGTACTAGTAGTGGCAGGATCACCATTCCATCTAGTCACGCTATCTTAGAGCATCCTGCAATCAAGAGAAAGGCAACACACCTTCTGTGGAACAAAGTATACCAGCCTGACCTATGCCAATGGTCAATCGTCTTGACACCCACATTGCCGACGTCGCAACCGCCTTTGCGAGCAATTTGTAAGCGCCGTTCATATTCTCGCAATCTGTCTGCTTCATTCGTAAAGCTGACAGGACCATTCCCCAATTGCGCGTGAAAACTTTCGAATGCATAGATCTGTTTAAATAAATTGAAATTTCGTTCATAACAGCCCTTTAGCGCCTGATAAGTCTTCTTGCCACCAAATACCTCAATGGCACACTATCGCCCAGTAAGTCACACATTAGTGCACCATCTCAATTGAATACACACCTCGCGAAGACACGAGTTCTTTGTAGCCCGAAGTGCATTCCAGTGGTTGTCTTCCCCAACACCCATGAGCCAGTTAAACAATTTTGTCTTCTCGTCGTCAGTCCAGTGTTTAGAACCGTGCGCACCATCGGTGTCAAAGGGGTCATTTATGTCCTCCCCTTCTCTCCGTCTTTTGCCTGATTGTGAACTACCACTGGGAACCAAACCGTCAGTCTGCTTACGCTTGGGCCCACTGGTAGTTTGAGTTTCGTTGGTTGGGAGTACCGAAAACTCGTGATTGGGTGAAGAATGAGAGGGACCACCTATCGGTTGGGTAGATCGTGAAGCTTGATCCAAAATGGTCGGCGGTGAATCAGAAAGCCTATATGCTCCGCCGTCATGGAATTGGGGACGCCCATTAATGGTAGGGTTAAGATGCGACCCCAGCGCTTGATTCAAACTCTACATATCATTCATTGAAGTCGATATGATATCAGTGGCTTAAGGCTTCGAAGCAACATACAGCGTACCGAGACATTGCTGACATTAGTCTGCAGATTTGGGTCTCGTTGAAGATGGCCAAAAGCCATGCTTGGGTCGCTGCTGCAGGTACAAGCATTGTTATTGACATCTTGCACATCGGTGACCGCAAGTGGAAGGGGTGTGGAGTCTGGACATTACGAGATTAGCACTCACTTGTTGGTTTCCATATTCCATAGGCCAGGCTGTGAACCACAATGAACCAGCGTGAGCCGCTCGTACGTGTGTTGTGGCTCGGCTTGAGAAAAGGCGGGCTGTTTGGTTCTAAAGTCGCCGCCAAACAAAACCGGTCATACAACAAATCACCATGTACCAGTTCGCCTGTGGTGGACCAGGTTAGGTCGTGTCAGGCAGTTCTAGTTCACATTCTTCCGATTGATTCCGACAAAAGTAAGTAAGGTACAGACAATGTATGTAGCAATACGAAGTACTAGAGATCATGATATAGTAGCAGTAGTGGCCAGAATTTAGATAACTTTTCATTCAACCTCGTCGTCCGGCTCACCCTCCGCGTCCAGATCAGAATATTGATCGAGATCGTTGGATAGTGTTGGAGCGGAACAAATGGGCACTGAGTCTTGACCAGCACTTTCCCTCCAGGTAGTTTGAGAAGTGGGTGAGTGCACGGCTCCGATAATATCAGAGCCTCCAGAGTCCTTGCTCCCTACCCCGTTTGCAGTCTCCACAACGAACAAGGTGTCGTCGCTTGGTACGCTGTGTCGACTGGTTATGCCGGTGAGAGGCGTATCCGCTTCCTCCGACTTAATCTCGGGATCCGGTGGTTGCGACTGAGCAAGTGAGGATCGTGTATCTAGTTCTGACATAGACGAGGTCGTCTCCACTCGAGGAGATTGAGCGCCATTATTGACGGAACCAGATGATCCGGATGAATGATGAGAGACATCTTCCTCCTGACCGACCTCACTGACGGGGTTGATGTGACCGTTAGAGTGAGTAGGACCATCAGGCAGCTCAGCACGGCCTTCCACACGCTCTGAAGGGGTTTCTGACACAGGCGATTCTATCCTCCTGCGTTTGACTCGAGTCAGGGGTCTTGATGGTGACGGTGAAACAGTCATCCTCCCAGACTCAGATACCGCTGATAACGCATCATCCGGTGGCTTTATCCGTGCCCGTCCTCGTCGCCGTTTGGCTGGAATATCAGGACTCGATTGTTCTGCCAGCTCATCAGTTTGAGGGGCAGCATTGTTGACCGCACCGTCGATGTCAGTAATAGGGCGAGCCGATACAGAACGTGTGTGTCGTTGGAGGGCAGTGCGCGTGATCGTGTTACGACTCGACTGCGTTCGCGAGAAGACGGACCGAGGCACTTCGCCTCCTTTAACGCGACTCCGCAATTGCTTCTTTGTCACAGGAGTTTCAGGGTTTTCGGCTATGAGGTCATCAAACAGACGCGCTGCAGGAGTGTCTACGACATGATGAGTGTCTGTAGGCGCTGCCTCAGATACGCTGATGGAGGGTTCGGCAGAACCAGGGGCCGGCGTCTGATTGTCCACCTGATCAGTGACTGGGATTGGTGTTTCCGCAACGCCGTTTAAAGCACCCATGCCGGCACCCAGCTCCGCTTGCAAAACTTCCCCGCCAGCTTTTGTCCGTGCCAGCACAAACGGCGTCCATTTCAACCGTTCCGGTTTCAGCTTCATGTATCCCTTCTTCTCCCACGCCCCAAGGTAGTGTTGCACCTTCTCAGGATCCCAGGTAATCTGGTACCGCGTAGGGGGAACAAAAGGTGTGTTGGCCTTACTTCCGGCCTCCTCCTCCTTGTTTAGCGTGCTCTGCCGCTGAAGGTGACGCCGCGCAATGCCGTTCTTGCGCCCTCGTGGGAACTTGATAGCTTGCCCTGGTGTAGGTCTCATAGGCGGTGTAACAGATTGCACAGAGATCATTCCCTGGTCGTGAAGGGTATTATAAATATCTTCGATAGTCATAGACGTGCCCTTGCTGATAGCTGTCGATAATGAATGTCAACGCGCCCGATATTTGAGGAAGCTTAGAAACATACCTTCAAGGGTTGGGTTTTCCGGTGATGTATGAAGGTATCGCATGAGTGCGAGGGTCCAATAGTTCTTGTACCCCAGTTGACCAAGCCCTGAGAGTGGCTTCTCGGGTGATCCCGCGCGTTGTTCCTTCTTGGAAAGAAGATAACCTAAAGTCAAATGTCAACTTGTATCGCTGTGACCTTATGTTACGAGTGCTCACTGAAATCGATCAAGAAATTTCCCCATCCTTGTCTCTGCCTCACAGGTAACGCCATGATACAACTGACGTTGTAGTCCTTCGGAGAACATTTCTCTTTACTGAAGTACCCAACAAAACGCGCACCCATATCGTCAGTTTCTGTAATAACGTAGAACAAAAATGGTTCGACGTCATAGAAGAGTGACTTGTGATCTAGGAACATCTTTGACAACAAGCAAAGATTCTGGCAGTATATCTTGTTCTTGCGTCCGTCTACTTCGAAAATAGACATGGCACCATCGCGATAAATCTCGTCGCCTGGTGGATGTCGTGTTTTGCATTTCATCTGCGAAGTAGTCAGTACTCGTATATACCCCCGTGTGATGGGCCTAACTCACGCTATGTCTACCAAAAGCAAAGCCACTTCTCATATATTTGAGGCAAAATTCACAGAACCACAATCGTCCATCCGGGATATTTGAGAACTCTTCCGGAAAGGGGGCATCGTACCACGGGTGGATATCATACTTCCCGAAGCGGATGATCCGGATGCGTAACGTGGAGGGAGGCGTTGGGACACCTGACGGGGTAGCAGGGATGGTGGAAGGTGTGTGCGGAATCGCACCAGGTGTGGAAGGCACTGGCGAGCGAGCTGGTATTGAGGAAGGTATTGTTATGTGTTGGAGAGCGTGAGACCGTAGGGGACGAGACGAAGGACCAGCTATTGGGGGATCAGGTGTGTCAACTGATGGTGCTGATTGAGGTGGTGCAAGTTTTTCCTGTGTAGAGGAGTTAGCTTATTGTTCATGAGCACGAGAGGACAAGAGAAAACCTCAGCCGCCAGACAACTTTTATCAAATCGTGCTCTGTCAAAGTCTGTGATCCCTGTTTTTGACATGTCCCTATCAGCAGGGTTGAGGAAGTCCTCGAAGATATTTCTGTCAGGGTCTTCTTCTCGCTCTTTGCCCTTACCCTTTGGAGGGATTCGCAGACGTACGACGAGCGGGTGTGCCGCAGGCGAGCGCAGGCGGATGCGTTTGAGAGGCCGTGGGGTTGGCTGTTCAATTCTGCGCTTTGGCGGCTTCTTTATTCGCTGGCTGGGTCGCTGGCGTGGTGTCGGTGCTTGCACAGTATTGGTATCATCGGATGCAGATTCAGAGTCCGAAGAGTCTTCAGACGAATCGTCATCACCATCGTCAACTTCAACATCCACTTCAGGCTCGGCAGTTGCCTCGTCTCTATCTTGGGGATCGGAATTTGTGGTGGATGCAACGTCGGATTCCAAAGGAAAGAGGGATGGGGGGCATATTGGGCAGTGCCATGTTCCGGGAGGCGTTTCTTCCAGGGGAGGCTGCATACAATCCATATGCCACCCTGATTGATTTGGTAACTTAGTCATTGTCCAAGATATAGATGACGTATAGAACACACCTCGATCACAAAAGTCGCACAGTAGTATTCTCTCCTGTATTGTTATGAACATGAGCAATTTCTAACAGTTAAGGGGGCTTACTCACATCATCGCCTTTTTCTTGACAAATTTCGCAAGTTTTACATTCGGTGCACTTCCAAGGATATGAACGAATGGTGTCTGCTATAGCACCAAGTTGCAAGCAGCTCGGATGACCTAGTTGTAAGTTTTGTCAAAATTTCAATTTTGTGGGTGACTACACATACCACTGCGACCGCATTCTACACAAGTGACCATGACCTCGGGTTCAGCCTCCTTGTTCCTCTTGTCATCCCCCTGACAGAACCCACACTCAGGTTCTCGCCGGGGTTTTCGCTTTCTCTTTGGTGGCTTGATGGGTGGCGGAACGACTTCTTCTTGAATATGTAGATAAGGCGCAGGTTGGGGCGCAAATGGATCGCCACGGGGACCTTGGTCATATTGTGAAGGCTCCTGAGAGTAGTGTCGAGGGTGAGGTGGAATGAAATCCTCTGGAATGTGCACGGGTGGACCCTAATTGCAAGTATATGAGCCGTCTTGCAAAGAGTTCTAATTACAACACGCGACGCGTTTGGCGCCTGCGCGGTATGACATATTCAATCATCAAGCATAACTTACCTGTTGCGAAACATTTAACTGAACGGCTCCGTTGCCCATGATAGCTGGGTCAATGGGTAGTGGCCCGGCGAGTGCAGGATCAATAGGAATATCACTAGCAGGGCTGAACGGTGTTCCATGTTCACTTGGTACTTCATGGTCGAAGGTGGCAGCTACTGGAAATGGAAGACTCCGCATAATTGCATTTGCGTCGCCGAAAGCAACGATGAGCTGAGGGGTAACAAAGGGGGATTGACTCGCAGTCGACGTCGTCCACAGCGAGCGACGGCCTCTGTGACACATGCGCGTGACGAGTAGTCAATAAATTATGGTCACGTTTCTTAGTAAAATGGGTAAATCTAAGCCCATTTCATGGCCAATTTTGGTAGAGTTTATGATAAATATTTATGAACATGATCCAAATCTAGTATTTCCTTTACCGTGTAAGGTCGCTGGCGTCTCGAATAAGGTTCCTTGATTGCAAAGCTCATGATCACACTGCTTGGATTCATTGTGTAATGCCACGATGACATGCTAGTTATTTCGGATCCTTCATATGCCAATCGGCACCCCTTCGCCCGTGCAACGCCCATCTGATGCTGATGGAATGAAATGTAGTACTCACCGTTGTCAGTCACTCGATCGAGGCTCAGACGGAGCACTCGCGGGGAGAGCTTGGAGCAGCAGTCATGCTGTGAACGTCATCGGAGCGGCTCTAGGCTGGTGGTCCATGATACGGTCGGTAGCAACAGAAGGGAAATTGGTAAAGGTAGTGATCATAAGCGGGACAAACGTGGACCTAAAAACAAGAAATGGTATATAAATTTGCCCATACATATGATAATGACACAGCTTGAGGGGTTTGGTTAGTGAAACAAGATATATATATATCAGGCCCTGCACAACAGGCCACGATAGGACTCCGAAATAGTTCCATGCTGGATTCTGAGCTAGCTCATGGCCTCGAATGATATCGCAGAATGCCGTCGGGTTCTGAGTATACCGGCGGCCACAGGAAGCCCTATAGCAGAATTCTGGCAGAAGGTTCCCTAGAGGGCCCCGGCTCAGTTTTAAGCGTTCGACAAACCACAGCTGTCCGTGCGCTGGTTTAACGTGGTTTGTGGCTATCAGCGAGTGGCTAAACCAACTTTATAACTTCGTGATAAATAAACCACAACAACTACCATTTCATCCTGTGTTACATTCTCTCAAAGTGGTCCACCGTTCAGCTCCTACGCTGGCTTTCAATATCCTTCCCTTAACGTCCCTTCTTCGTCTTCTACCATTGCCATCACGGCTACAGCATCAATTTTGACGATGCAGACAGCTCTGCATCGTCAGCTTGCTCCAATGTTGCCTCAATATCTTCCACAATCTCTCACTCTCAATAGCACAAGAGCCCTCCCAAATTCCATAGTCATGCCCACTCCTCCAGTTACTTCTCGCAAGAGGAAGCGTGCACATCAATATACTGTGAGCTACAGCGAAGTTCAAGAGGTCGACGAAGAAGGCAGGGTCCGTGAAGTCATAGTTATTGAAGATACTCCTCCTCCTTCTACAATATCGCCCGCAACAACCCATACAAACGTCTTTTCGACCTCATATCAATCTCCAGTGTATTCCGCCCCAATACGGACAAGGGCCCGTGCTGCTGCCGAGGCACAGACCCTTTCAGCGAGCACTTCGTCCGCAGCGATCGTGGCGCCAGCGCCTAAGAAGAGGAGACGGGAGCCTGCTGATGACTCCCGTCCAATTGTCACAAAGAAGACAGCCGCTGTACTACACCAGCAGCAACCCGTGGCGTCGACCAAATCGTGGGCCAGCGGCAGCGGGGCTGCCACGGCTGATGTACGTAATCATCGTTCGTTCTACAGAATCGCTTCCAGTGCATACTCACGTTTCGCTCACAGACTGTCAATGGCAACATTCCTTGTGATGATAAGGAGGGCCATTACATTATTGTCCCAGATGACATTATTTATAATCGATGTGAGTCACCCTCTTGCCCCGATCATATCTTTTCAACTGATGAAACTTCTCTCTTCTAGATCGTACTGTTCGTCTCTTGGGGCAAGGAACCTTTGGCAAGGTTGTAGAAGCGGTTGATATCCATAACCAGAACCGGGTAGCGATCAAGATTATCCGCGCTATCCCGAAGTATCGCGATGCCAGCAAGATCGAGATTCGCGTCCTCCAGAAATTGAAGGAGCGCGATCCATCAAACGTCCAGTGCGTATCGACAACGAACTATCTACTCGTTTTGAACGTATCTTTCAGCAAATGTATTCATCTGTTGCATTGGTTCGACCATCGAAACCATATTTGCCTGGTGTCAGAATTACTTGGCATGTGTGTATACGATTTTTTGAAGGAAAATGAATTTGCGCCATTCCCGCGAAACCATATACAGTCGTTCGCCAGGCAATTGCTTGGTAGCGTAGCTTGTAAGTGCTTCGTATCCTTTGTTTCGTCTTAGAGTTCTCATGTTGCGTCAGTCTTGCATGACCTTCACTTGATTCATACGGATCTTAAACCGGAAAATATCTTGCTTGTACGCAACGATTACCGACTGACTGTGGTATCTGTACCTGGCAAGGTACGATTTGATGTGACCGATGTGTCAGAGTTCCATAACTTACCTGCTTTGTCAGCGTAACGCACCAACACGGACGAAAAGGATGCTCTCTTCAACAGATATTCGTCTCATAGATTTTGGATCAGCAATCTTTGAGGAAGAGTATCACTCAACCGTCGTCTCCACGCGGCACTATCGTGCGCCTGAGATTATTCTTGGTAAGTGGGATTCTCTTCAATTTTTCTCCGACACATATTTACATTTCATTTCATTCTAGGTTTAGGGTGGTCATACCCGTGTGACGCCTACTCATTAGGGTGCATTTTGGTCGAATTCTACACTGGTGTCGCTTTGTATCAGACGCATGACAACCTGGAGCATCTCGCAATGATGGAGATGGTCATGGGTAAAATGCCTGATCGGTTCGCCCGTCTCGGAGCGCGGGCTAAGCCCGAGTTCTTCAAGGACGGTGCACGGCTGGACTGGCCGAAGCCGAAGGCTTCGCGGCAGAGCAAGAAGGACGTGCGAGCTACCCGACCTCTTCAGGTAGGACGACCAGTTGTGGACTGGCTGGGCTTCTCCTAACGACTCCTCACAGGACGTAATACCTCCGACGGACCAGATCAACAAACAATTTGTGGATCTTGTGCGGCGATTACTTGCCTTTGACCCAGCACAGCGAATTACCGTTCGAGACGCATTGCACCATCCGTACTTTTCTTTTAACATTCCTGAAGAGTTGTAGCCCTTTATCTATATCCACGCTGTAGAACTTCCTTGACTTGATCACGCACTCCGACCAACATCCTGCCTGCCGGTATACACTCCGCCGCTGTCATCTCACCCTCACAACACTCACTCACACATTGGAATTGTTATTATGATAATCCATCTTGGTCATGTACAAGCCTCACACCCACTCTCATTCCTACCTGTTTAATTCCCTGGTTTCTCTCTTTTCGTTTTTACCATCAGGTTCCAATCAAGTGTGTCTAACAAGTGCAATAATTGTTCTCTACCGCTTCCGTCAAGCAGTATCTTATGTCCTACTCATTTGCACGCGGCGTCCTGCTACACATGTAACATGCTACTTCCACCTCGCTCGGTCGGAGTTCGTGAAGAAAATCCTGTGGAGCAGGATATTTGACGGGGAATACGACGATGCAGGCATTCCTTGCATTGATCAATTGATTAATGATTGTCGGCCGTCCATTGGCTACTGGTCCCTGATTTGGCAATTGCTACAGCGGCGATCGTGCCGATGCAGTTATTTCAGCGTGGGTCCTGCGCGTGAGTAGTTGCAGGTTGGTGACCTTTACTGTGGGCTCTCCTCCCCGTCCCTGATGCAGTCAGCTTTAGTCGCACTGTCCTGTCGCTTACTCGAGTCAACCCTGATTGGTGACAAGTCGTCGTATGGAGGCGGATGGCCACGCTACCTCCTGCCCATTGTGATGGTGGGACCATGGCTATGGTCGACCACCTGATGATGATTGGATCCGCGCGGTGAGCTTGTGGAGCTCCGGCCCTGTTGTTGATGCGGCTATTAAGTGAGGCTCGAAGGCTGACTACCTGAGATCTTGCTAATGTATCTTAGTTTCAATAGGCCTTGAAACAGAGCCCCTGTGACAAGAAGGTGATGACAGAAACAAAGACCGTGTTTACAACTTCTCTTTGTTCGCTACTTAGTCCGAGGCAATCAACTACGCCGTCTCTTCGACGCTACAATGACAATGATAGCAATTGGGGACTCCTTGTCAACGTCTACTTGCAGTCCACAAGTGGACAATGATATCGAGTATTTCATCACTTTGATACGACACTGCTGAGTCCAAACTACCGCATACAATTGAAGCAGGCGGTGTTACTATGGTGTTTCTCGATCCTGATGCTACTCACTTTATAAGCGATGACTAGGACACAATTCATCAAGGGCAGGCTGTTCCCTTGTCTTCTAACACAGGTATCGGTTTTTCGCGAGCGGATGTAACATCCCGTAAGTGTGAAATGCCCTACAGCCGCGTCCAGTTGCCGGCGTCCGGTTGCAAAATGTACACTGCAGTGACCAAGGTCGTTATCACACGCCATCTTTACCTGGCAGGGGCTTTGAGAAGGCTAAACGCTTTTGTCTCTGAAAGCAGGCATCCATGTAATACTTTTGCGCATTTTGGTCGGCCACACGTCAGCATAGCTGCAGTCGTATCACTTTGGTAGTACCTACTGAATCAAGTTTTCACGAGCGACTTAAGTATGTACATGTCAAGTACGTGCTGAACTTGCGTGTCGCCGTGTCGAGTGTGTATATTCACAAGCACCTGCCGTGCCCAATGCGCCGATGGAGCGGTCCGCTGTTAAATCGACAGGCCGCCATCATCTTTCAAGGTGGACTTTTCATCAGAGTACACGGTTACATGGCCAATCGTGACGGTTCTATCAAACACGTGGTCGGACCGTATCTCAGTCCGCCTGAGAGCCACTCTACTCACAGCGGACTGAAAGCATTTGTACCGAATTGATAAGCCCCTCCGTGCTCCGTCCTCGTTGCATATGAAAGCATGTCTATACTTTCAGCACCGCTAGTGAATTGGCCCCCACCCATTCATCACTTATGATCATTCCCCTGTGAACTCGCATTCGCACTAATTTCTATTGAGCAGCCGCAAATAGACTTACGTATATTAATGCACTCCCGAGCACAACAAGAGCTGATCGCAGTGGAAACACGGTATGGTGTGCACTGCGCCGACAAGTGCGATGCAGGGTCATAGGAACAACAATTACAGCTTCATGCTATGTCCTTCAAACATCTGATGAAGAAACCAGTGTCTAGACCGAAACATAAAGGAGTGATTATGTTTCCGAACTAGACACTGGTTTCTTCAGTTTACCCGACCAACGTTCCCTCGCCTATGCAAGAACCGTCCGAGAAAAGGCGTAAACCATTTCCTCAAGGATATAGGCGACATGCGGTTTACCAGTATATATAATAGGAATGTCAGAAGGTCGATATGTGCAGATGCTGGCTACGGCCTAACCGCCAGCTGAAGGGCAGATGGTATCTCGGGAGCAAGAGGCACGGCTCATGGCGTATGCCATGACTCGCCCGTGTCACAGTCGGATCCACAGAACAGGAGAACACATGTGTACTCGTGCCGGCAGTCAAATTTCAAAGGTGGCTCCCGGACACCGGGCCTCAAAATCTCTTGGCAAGGCCTTTAAATGTTTGGCAAGTTCAGCGGTAGAAGTTGAGGGCAGAAATCGCCTTCCATAGCACGAGATTCGGGTGGATACACCACATGAAAAAAAGGTCTTTCTCTCCTTAATCCCGAGCTATGGTCTGGTGGGCAAGTGAATCGAATCCAAGTCTTGTGAAACTTGATGTTCTCCATCAGTTGGATCGATGGTGAGAACATTAACCGTTCCAAAAACACCAGCCTGCTACAGATCTCGGGCTACATATCAGTGCCGACTACTAATAGTTGCCATACGATGATGCTGCACGTTCGTTTTTCCTCGGTGATGCATGTTTAGTGCTGGCCGCCCAGTGAGCATGGCAATGCATGTGAACGTGAGAAACCTGCCCTAGAGTCTAGGAGACGTAACGTGTTCAACGTCTTCTCGAAGCTCTTCGAAACTGACTAGACCGTTCCACCATTTACATTTACACATTTTGCTTTCGTTTACTTTGCTTCATCTAATATGCGCCCCTCAATTTACATTGCGCGTAGTCTGAGCCTTGCCACCGTGTTGATGGCACTGGGAGTTTCTGCTTGTGAGTTTGTTCACTTTTCCACCGAATAATGAAAACATATTCGTTGTATAGCTCTGGATGATCCTGAGATAGTCATTGAAACCACTTTCCCCGAGAGCAACCCATTTGGCCGTACGTGCTGGCACTGCTTCTCACTCTAGTTCGCAAAGTTTGACACATAGCATAACAGACGTGGTGAACGGAGAGCGGAACCAGATTTTGCTTCTGGTTGAGAACAAGTCTGACAAGAATGTGACCTTACAGTCGGTTGCGGGGTCGTTCCATCATTCCGAGACTGGAACTCTCATAAAAAATGTTCGTTGGCGTCATGTTATGCTTACTTCTGAGTTGTCTAACATCTGTGTCGTCAGACGTCTTCACTGGCGTATGGTATCCCCCTGCTCGAGGGTTCAAAATTACAAATACCTTACTCTTTCTACTCTGAGTGAGTTCTCTTAAATTCTTTGCAAATGTATTTGTGCTGACGAGTTTCGTTCCAGATTTAAGGTATGACCACCCAGTTATTCTTCATTACACGTTGACTCAAAATGAACTAGCCGGGAGACTTGAGACTCAACATCTGGCTAGAGCATACCGTTGATGTAAGTGCTTGAAACTCGCTACTGTTATACTTATAAACGCATCTTTCAGGACGACAAATATCGTGTGACAGCTTACGACTCAGTGGTGACGATTGTTGAGCCTGAACCATCCTGGCTAGATCTCAAACTGTACGAGCAATTGTTTCAAGTCACCACGTTTGGTGCTTTCTAACCTCGTGTTCGTCAACAGCCTTTCCACCTACCTCATAGTTTTAGCCGCATTCGCGGGTGTGACATATACAGCATACAATGCATATGTTCCTTCGCAGAAGCCGAAACGCAAACGTCCAACCCAGGTCAGCGCGCCTATTGGCCCAGTGACCGCGAGTGGTTCGAGTGGCTATCAGGAGGAGTGGATTCCTGAGCACCACCTCAAGAAGACAAAGGGAAAGAAGACAAAGCCCGACAGCGTTGCGGTCAGCGAGGAATCAAGCAGTGAGGCGAACGGCACAGAGGGGAAGAGGACGAGGAAGGGGAAGAAGTAATGATGGGCAGAGTAAAATAATTGTCAACTACTTGACCATCTTTGCATCCTATCGGGTAATTTATACAGGTGGTGATTCACGTGCAGTATATGTGATATGGAAGTGTCCTGAATGTTAACATCGATGGAAGTATCATGTTCTGGGCCCTTCCTCGACATCGGTCGTCAATTACTCGTCTGCATCTTGAATCTGCTTTCCATGCTGAGAGTCTGGGCATTGCTAGAAGAGGCAGATCAGAGCCGCGAGAGACTTTGTGGGAATACAATTCTTCCTCTCCCTTACAATTTGACCATTCTCAGTCTTCCGTGTTTCCTGAGTAGCGATGCGTTATCGGGCACGGAATGGTTACCAGTGCAACACCGCGGACACCCACTTAAACATCGATTGATGCCGCTGTGTAATTCGAGTGGTCATTCTAAGAAGCACTACGACAATCTAGAAATCAATCTTTTTGTAGCCCTTGACCTATTACCGACGTCCGTTCAGTGGTATCTGTGAGAACGGGTGCATAACACATACCTTGTTTTCTTTGAGCATCGAAATATATTTGTCCGAGAGCCATCTGCAGTTCTCCAGGTGGTTAACACCCTCAAGCCGATGACATTTCACGAGCTCGTCGCGTACAAGTCGGGCTTCCATGGCTTTCACCCAAGACTCACGAACGAACTCTTCGCGTTCTTGGAGTTTTGCTGGGGAGTTGAACAGGTGGGTTAGTGGAGATTTTGGTTGAAAGAGTACTTTGAATTCATACATTTTATAAACTCGGCTTTGTCTGCGAACTCGGACATGGTCGCGGTAGCTAAGGATTGTTGGTTATTGTTTGTACCTGATGGCTTTGTCTCGGCTCCATGATGATCCGCTTCGAGTTGACTGAAAGCCTCGAGGTTCCGGGTCTCGCACCATGCCATGGGTCCTTTGGATATAAGGGATACGACGGGCCGAATTGTATCATTGAAGATATCGATCTTCTGAATATTGTCTTCCATTGACATCTAGGCAGGTCATTCGAAACTGAGACACTATCAATAGCAAATCTATAGCAGGCTAGCCCGCACAGGCCTGATATGAGCCGAGAAATGCCAAGCATGCTGGCGATACCGTTCGTCACTGCGACTAGTCGTTATTCAACGTTTCGTTCCTTGGGAGTGCACCCCTGGGCTTGTCATGATCTTTTTTGCTGAACGTTGATCAAATACATACCGTTCACGTTCAATTACGCGTGGTAACTGGATCATAGCTTGCATTCCGATCAGCGCCACAGCTCTTGGAAATATTAAATTATGGAGGTTTCAGTGCTGCGCTATGCTAATGGGCGGCTTTATTTAAAGCCAAGCGTCAACGCACACTCAAGGTTCCATCGCCGCAATGAACGCCCCTCATTATCCAGAACCGACATGGATGCGCATATCTGGTCGCAAAACCCCGTTCTACACCAGGTATTTGCCGTTTGAAATACCATATCCCCTTATTCTGACCTTCTTGTACAAAGGCCGTTGCTAGGATCTGAGCTATTTGATGACCGAACTAGCGTTCTACTTGATGGGTAGCCAAATCAATGTCATTTATTGCCAACATATGCTCACTCTTTCTTCAGTATGACCGACGCATGTGTCGGCTTCACATTTCGGAGCCTATATGCTGCGGACGAGGTGAAACAACGCGCCCGCAATGCCTTCGCTAGGCTTCGGTAATAGTTTTTGCCTCATCCTGTGCATGGCGTATCCTCACAGGGACCACATACGTAGCTTTTCGTGTCCAATCATTGCAACCAATATAGTCGGTGACGTTTCCGGTCCCATTCCGAGATCATGGGTATATGCGCCTGTACAAAGTTTATCGGAGCTCACGCACTGGATAAACGATGCCTTTTGCATCGTGCACCACGATCTGAACGTTGATGCTTTCGTCGAAGAAACTAGTCAACGTCGACTCCCTTACCAGCCCCAGAACGCAAGTCCCATCTGGTTTCGTTGCTATCTTCTCTTGGGCAGCAATAACAAACACGGCCTCTATTTTCATGGCCCGCATGCCATCATGGACGGTGGCCCGACGCTCAATGCCTTTGCACTCATGCTCCAATGGATGACGAACGATGTCATCGAACCTGCTGAGAACTTACCGTGGGGGACAGAATGGCACAATCTGCCCCTTGGTCCTGTTGGTGCCACAGGTGGTCCTCGTGAAGATTGGGATATCGCAGGTATCGAGCTCCTGAAGCAATTGTCAGACTCCGAAGCGGTCCATACGGTATGTTTTTGACATGCTTATCCTCCTGCCCCCATTCCGACCAGTTGATATAGATACCTTTGACTGTGCGTCCGTTTCGAATGTCACAAAGTGCCGTCGGAAAGACATGTAGACTGGAGCGAGTTCTCGACCCGACATTAACGCGTAGGCTAGTCAACAAAACGCGGATCGTCGGTTGCTCGATGTCTCATCTGTTTGAAGCTGCATTTTGCATGGTGCTGCTCGCCCGCAACCAACTTCCACCATCCGTGTGGGATGCCTACCACTTTCCAGGCAACTCCTCTGCGTGAGTACCCACAACCGAGAGATGTAAATCTACTGACGAAATTTCAGTATCTCGCTGATTCCGCACCTGAAATTGCCCTACGATACGAAAACACATTTCATCTCTTCCCGCTCGCATATACCGATCCAGATTTCGATGGCTGAAATATCGCCCATAGTATCGCCCAGAAGGCAGCTCCTGCAACTTACTCAAGCCATAGAGCAAAGATACGCTAGGTTTGCTACGCATCCCTGTATGCCCCACGTCCAGGCTGCAAGGGCGTATCAACCAGATGCTCTGCCAGAAAGACCAAACTTCGAGAGTTCTATCAACAACGTTGGCCCCATGGAGCGGCGAATTCCGTTGTCATGGAAAGGGAGGCATACCACTGAGTCGGTCATTGAGCTGGAGTCTGTGTTGTTTTCAGTCAGGTTAACGTCTTTAACTCCGTAAGAAGTTTTTCAATTCTGTTCATTGGGTGTGTCTGAACAAATTGGCAGAATAATCCACATATGGACCATGAAGGGCAGTCTACATGTTCAGATTCAAGTGCGCAACATTTCATACCTTTTGGTTATGGGTGAGACTCACTGATTGTACAGGCAAATGACGCCTGGCCAAAAGCAGACCTACAGGACCTTCTAGACGCTATTTGTTCTCGAGTATGCCTGGTTCTTGAAGACTTTTCCCAAAATCCTCAAGGCCATCCCTCTGACTCGCCCTTGATCGAACGAAGCAAACTTTGACGTTGGAAAATCTTTCAAAATGTCCCTTGATCACCTTTCTGGGTGATTGCGCTTCGAGCATCCTGGTTGCGACTCGCTTTCTGGTCCCAGCTCACCAAACCTTCTTCCGTTCGCGTCAGTGGATCCTTTGGATGAAGCAGTGGAGGGAGCACTCCTCACGTGCTCTGTTTGGTCACGGGAGTCTGCCGAAAAGGCATGGAATATATGATTGAAGCCCAAGCATCAATGCATCAACGGCGAACGAAGAGACAGCTGTTAGGTCATAGGTCTGCTAATGCATGAAGACGCTGAATACTCTAGCATAATTATCCACCAGTACTGCAGAATGGCATGTGCCCCTGAATATCTCAGAGGAAATCAAACCCTAGCTAAGCCTCGATCCTGCAAGTAAATTTTAGTTTGAAACTCTGCCAATGCTCCATTCATGATTCATGATGGCTGCTAACTCGCAGCGCGAAGGTCCCGCCACCGGTCCTCATTCAGGCCTCAGGGACAGACATCCCAGCTCCCAAAAAGCAAGTGCAGCTAAAGTCCTGACGAAATGTCTACCTCAAGTATAATTCCACACCTCATCTTCACTTCCTGCCCTCGCACAGATAAACTTTACATTTGGCTCATGCGCGTTGTAGTGGAGACCCATACAGCGTCACTACTCATGAGTGAAGCGTCGATAATGTCCGAGTCACATGGGTAAGTCGTACCATTTATAGGCTACGGCGGCTTGCGGGATATTGATATCTTGATAGCGAGGATACCCTGGTTCTGCGTGTGCAGGTTCCACTGGGAAAAGAAGGGCGCATCAGAACTAACTTGTCTGGACCCTTGTACGGTGTGATAATTTCATTTCCGGGTGACACTCACTGCATCATGCGTTCGGAACTTTAAGTTCTGTTTCTTGGTATTAGACGACTGCGGCACGACAAAAGCAAAAGCTCTAGAATGATATCGTTGATTTAATTTTCTACACCGTGCTATCGGCTAGAAATAGGAGCAATAGCACATAATTTTATCACAATCGATATACCCCGCCTATCAGTCGATCGCCAGGCCCTTGACATTGTGGATTATATATTTATAACTCAGATCATGGAGCATGTTTGGCAGGGGCTCTGAGGCGTGACAAAGTAAAAGCTCGATTCGTCCAAGGAGAATGTGTGGTGGACAGGAAAGAGGGTAATACATAAGCCACTGGGAAAGCGCTAGCTCAGGCACAAAGTAATATTTGACAAGTGGCATAATGTTCGTCACGAGTTCCTCAGGGCCAGGCGTACTAGGTATAGAGGGAAAGGGGAAACCGACTGTGGTTTAAACGTTTACGTACTATGAGTCACCATCTGAGTCCGGGTCGGTGAGCCGGTGAACGTTTGAACTCTAGTGGACATGACTACGTTAATACATTCTCACCATCGCATAGTTAAACTGGTTACGAGTCTTACTAGATGCATGTTACAAAATGGAACCCAGGATTGGACGCCAAACGCAACCAATTGAGCTCCATAAGATTAGGTATATGACTCAAAGGACACAGGAATCTTCATAACGCCGAGCCCGCCTTATTGTCTGATGATATCACCAGTGGTAAAAGCTGGTCCTGTTCTGCTCGCCTCCGTGGATCATGACTGCCTTCGGTGTACTCGTTCCTCTGTAATGGTTGTAATGTCGTTGGTGACCATCTGCATCAAATCTATATAAACACACAATTACCAACCATTCACTGTCGGCTGTTCAGTATTACATAATGGGGTTGCATCTCCCGGGGGCATGTAAGTAGTTTCTTTCTCGTCGCTTCCACATTCAAACTAATTCGCATTATACCGATATCTACGCTGCTACGTAGAAATTATCTCTTATCGGTGTCTTCCATTGTGTTATCTTTGGCTACCTCAGTGGCTATCCATATAATCTCAAGCAACAATGTTAATGAAGAGGAAGGATTTGACCTTTGCTTCAAGTTCGCTCGCTCCTCCGTGACCACATGGCAATAGGTAAACGGTTGTTTGTGATACTTGTGTCCCCTGAGTTCGGCCTCTTATTGACAGTGTGACAATCAGCGCTCCAGTCGCACACATGCTCTCCCATACGGAACGGTTTGGCTCCGTTGTGTATTTTTCAACACCAAAATAGTTCCGGCATCGCTTCCTCCGGGAATGGACTAATTCCTTATTCTCCGTATTCCGGAGAGGATAATGGTGTGAGTTGTGACTTAGCTCATGACGAGTGTGCTGTGAAATCGGAGGATTATCAGGTGCAATCGAGCGACGGGCAGGTTCCGTGGGTTTCACCGCTCCGTTGTAGTACTGCGTGTTACGGGTGTGCTCACATGCGACCGTGTACCCTTCTTCTTTCTTCAAGTGGTCGACTACCACGTCCACGAATCTCGGTCATGTAGAGGACGTGCACTGTTTGAACAAGGTCTGTCCGTCAAGCTGACAAATAAAAAATAAACATCACCGGCTATATGTAAACTTGGTACCAGTACCCTTTTTGGCCTTCCAGGTCCTGCAACTGCTCACTATCACGTGGAACCGCTCGAGGGGTCAAATTAAAGATTGGGAAGCCGAGACTCGATCCTGTCGGTTTGTTGTAAAGTTTAGCCCTTATCGCTCTCTGTCACTCTTGTCACCGTGTTGAGTACTTGAGTTTGTGTATGACTATCGGCCGACGGTGCGACCGGTGACCAAATTACAGTAAACTAAAATGTGTCAAGCACAGGGTCTCAGGACTCTCATCCGAGCTAAAGTTGTTTCGAGGTAAGCACCACAGTAATGACATAGTCCTGTTTACTCAATTCTGGTCTCCTTTGTAATGGTGACAGTAACCGGTTGCTAGATGATTTATAAGTAGGAAAGGACTATGTGGGTGTCAATCGCAGATGCGAATGTCCACCACAAACCAAATCTCTGCGTCCGTGAGTGATGTGGAAGGAACACTAGGCGCAGTGTCTCCCGCACCAACCTTACAAGGTGATCACCCGTCAAAATCAGTCCATCATATTCCAGAACAAAGTCATTCTCAGAAGTCGTATAACACCGGCGATGGCGAGCTGCTTGCGACAACAAACAATGCAGATGTTTTGATCGTTGACTGGGACGGCCCAGATGACCCTCAAAATCCTAAAAAGTGCGTTGCGTTAGCAGAGTAGCATGGCCGTTGGGCTTATAATTCTTGCACAGTTGGAGCTATAGACGCAAATGGGCTGCCACAATCATTATATCATCATTTACTTTTATCAGTCCAGTTTCATCCTCTATGATTGCGCCTGCTACTGGCCAAGTGGCTTCTGCCTTCGGGATCGACAATGATGTTATGCTTGCACTCACAACATCGATCTTCGTCCTTGCATACGGTAAGCCAATTTGGTGGATGCTAGACACCCCACTAACCAATAATAGCCATGGGGCCGTTATTTCTGGGTCCATTGAGTGAGATTTATGGACGGTCACGCGTTTTGCAATTGGCAAATCTATGGTATCTTGGTGTGTGACATTTGCAAGCCAACCCATAATCTCACTCTCATTTTTGACATGATAGTATGGAATCTCGTCTGTGGTTTTGCACAGTCAGAATCCCAGCTTCTTGCTTTCCGATTTCTTGCTGGCCTCGGAGGCAGCGCTCCTTTGTCGGTAAAGTTGAAGTTTCCTCAAGCCGGAAGTATCTCTTCTGAATGGCTTCCCTCTTCAGATTGGCGGTGGATTTCTTGGGGACTGTTGGCAGCCACATGAACGAGGAAGAGCTGTCGCCATTTACTCCTTAGCTCCGCTAATGGGCCCTGTCGTGGGACCTATCACGGGCGCCTGGTTTGTGGCTATTTCAAGTTCAACGACACCATCTAAATTTCCTCAGGGTAGCTCAATACTCGACCTGGAGATGGGTGGTATGCAATGCTTTTGCCAATAGAGAATTGTTCTCATCTCTCTGATAGTTCTGGTCTACGTGCATTGTGGATGCAGTAATTCAAATAATTGGAATGTTTGCACTTCAAGAGAGTGAGGAATTGACTGGTTGCGATCCGCTGATACTTATGAATTGTCCAGCTTACGCGCCCGTCTTATTGGAAAGGAAGGCAGAGCGGATTCGCAGATCGATGGATGCCGAAAAAGCTCCGTATAGAGAAATCCGTACCGTTTTCGAAGGTCAAGATCGCTCGTAAGTCCTTTTATAATCCCTGTAAGATATTATCTGAGGACGATGCGTATATAGTTGGCAGGCCATCATGGCTAAATCACTCAGCCGCCCGTTTGTACTCTTTGCGCATGAGCCGATCGTGCAGCTTCTCGGCGTTTACATGGCATATCTATACGGAACACTTTATCGTAAGGCATTCTATTTTCTATACATGTTGATCTTATATCGTCTCAGTATTTTTGACGACGATGCCATCGATCTTCCAGGGCACATACCATCAGTCGGTAGGAATCTCCGGCCTTCATTACGCTGCACTTGGCATAGGATTGTCAGCGGCCTCCCAATTAAATGCGAGAACGATGGACAAAGTGTACATTTATCTCAAGGGTAAGAACGGTGGAGTTGCGAAGCCGGAATTCAGACTGCGTTCGTCATATTGTTCTAGCGCCTCCTTTCTCAAGTACTCATTCAGTGTACCATCAGCTGCTATGGTTCCCGGATCTCTCTTACTTCCAATTGGGTGCTTGATTGTAGGCTGGACCTCTGAAGCTCAGACGTATTGGATAGCTCCAGATATTGTTGGTTTTATTTTCCTAGTGTTGTTCATCTATTGATGGTTTTGACAGGGCATTGCGCTTGTGGGAGCAGGCATCATTCTGAATTTCCAGTGTATCCAGACCTACATCGTTGATTGCTTTACGCTTCATGCCGCTTCTGGTGGGTAGATTTGGTTCCCGCGTTACCTACCCATCTCAAATATTTCATATTTAGCTCTTGCCGCTATCTCTTGTTTGCGGTCACTAGCAGGTTTTGGATTTCCCTTGTTTGCTCCAGCAATGTACAAAGCACTCGGGTTCGGAAAAGGCGATACTATTTTAGCAGTCGTGGCAATCGTTGTCGGCTGTCCTGCGTACGTCTTCATTTTTGTTCCCTCCATTGTGACCCTTACGATTACCGCAGACCCTGGATACTGTGGCGTTACGGGGAGCGGATACGGAACAGCAGTCGACATGCGCGGTGAATCCGGTGATGACCTCAGCGATCACAATCAGCAACGGGGCCATGACTTTTACCTCCGAGTACAAGCTCTGTTATTTGTAGGAGAGGAGGAACGAGGTGCACCACAGGTGAATATGGTGCATCGTTTTGATGGACGCTGTATGGTGTGTTGCGGGTAGAATGAGGGAATGCAGCTGAAATCGGATGGTTCCAGCTCCTGCAAGAGCAGAGACTTCGAGTCAGCCTCATGGTAGTAGGGGAGTCCAAAGTTAACTGCCTTGGAGTAAATAGGGAGCAAAGGGGAGTAAAGCCACTGAGGAGATAAGCTAAAGCTTGCTGTGAAGTGCTGAAACCTTTGTTAACTGTCTCCTCCCAATCCTCCGCATTTCTGAACCTTTTCACACCTGAACCTTCTCATAACCACTGTCCTAAATTTTATTATTTGTAGCAGCATAGAATTTCACTCAAGTACCAAATGCCTAAGCCTCAAATTGTCAGAATACTGTAAAGTTACGATCATAGCCCTTTGGGATACACTTAGTTTCACAGCTTTATAGGTCCGATGGTCACGAGCCTATATTCAAGTTCCTAACGATTCATTCAATCGTGATAAGGTCCGATAAAATTATATCTCTCAATCACGCAAAGTCGACAGAGAGCCTGCGGCATGTTAATGATGCGTCCCGACGACCCACGTATGTTGTTATTCTTAATCATCGATTGAAAAACGGATGACGCCCGGTCCCGTCGTGGCACAACATATGGGAATTCTACAGGCCTCACCACCGCCTCTTCACAACACCCTCCGTCAACGCCTCCAAAGCGTCCCTCGCCTCGCTTCTAGGCAATAATGTCAACACCTCCCGTGCTTTCTCAGCATGTACGCGCGCTAGCTCACGCGTGCGCTCTACACCATTGGAAGACGAGATCAGCGTCAGGGCCTACACACCGCACGACGCAAAGAAAGCAATATAAAAGTCAGCGATTGTCCAAATGTAGTTGGTGGGAAGTAATGCTCACCCTCTCAACATCGCCATCCTTACCGAACCGCCGCTCGATCATGGCGTCGAGCTCTGGGAATTCCTCGGCTGCGTAGAGTGCGGGTCCTGTTGCGAGTCCTAGGCGCAGGTCTGCAAAGCCGGGTTTGCCGAGCTGGGCTGTGGAGGAGGAAAAGTCGAGAGTGTCGTCTATGAGCTGGGCAAGGAATGAGTACGAACGGGGATGGATTGCAATGTGACAAGACGAGATGAAGTAGCGAAGAGGAATGACGCGTGCAGTGACAAAGTGAAGTGCCAAAAGCACAAGCAGACACGTGAAGAACTGTGCGAACACACCTGAAATGCAATACCCAAGTTCCTCCCATATGCATAGGCCACTTCCTTCCACACCTCGCCTTCTCTACATCCTCCTAGCACAACAGCAGCCCGTGCGCCTTTAGCCATTAGAGAAGCCGTTTTTAAATAAGTTTTTTTAAGATAGATCGACCATTTATCGGAGGACGAGGGTGAAGGAGAAGTATGAATGTCCTTAAGGTCAATTGCACTAGTCGCAGACGACGAGGGATGGGGAGCAGCTTCGGTTCCACTCCCTTTCATCTGCAAAATCTCACCCTCTACAAGATTAGCGATGACACTCGCGATGAGCTCTACCACTTCATGACTCCCTAGCCGACTCAGGGCAGCACTGGCGCGTCCCAGCAGAAAATCGCCACCAAGGACCGCTAGCTTATTGCCAAATGCAGCCGGTGCACTAGGTGCGCCACGACGAAGGGGGGACTTGTCAAGGACGTCATCATGGAGTAAAGAAGCAACATGTATCATCTCCACGATCTGTGCTAGGCGCAACTGCGTAGGAAGTAAAGTGTGAGTGAGTGCCTGGGAATGAGTTTGATGGAGGGGTGGGGGTTGTGGGGTATATGGTGGTGGTTGGGCGGGGGGTATGCGCAGTTCGAACGCGCTCTCGAATGATGCGGTGTGATCTGGCATGCTGGGGTTCCAGTCGCATAGGATATCTTTCCGAGTCAATGGCGCGTCGAGCTCTTGTTGGTGTGCTCTTGCATTGTCTGCTGCCCAGTTTACTTGAGAGAATTCAGCGCCTAGTCCGTTGGTTGCACGCGCGAAAAGGAGGACGAGGAGGGGCCGGAGTTGTTTGGAGGGGTGGAGAAAGTAGTATTGAGCAATGGCATTAAGGGAAGGATGGGAACTGCCAAGGAGAGTAAGCAGGGAAGTACGCATCTGTTCGAGGTGCGGCGCGAGAAGAACATATGGGTCTGTTTTTGCCAACGTTGACGTTTGTGAGGGAACGGGACGAGGCTGAGCTAGTACACTGTGGTGTCGTGCACTTCGGGGTCGTGTAATTCTACGCGCATTAGACGCTACACGCATGCTCGCCGTTACTGCAGACGACCATGACCCCATGCTCGACGACAATCAAGATGTGCTCAGTGACGGAAATGCAACGCAGCTAATTTCCCGTTTTCTATTTTTCCCGCGCTGGCCGAGGATCACGCGCACGTATCAATCCGACTCCAGAGCTTGTCCAGAGCGCTCCATTATACAAAAATACAACTCAGGTGATACTACATCCTGCGGTACGGTATCCGTAGTATTATTATTTTAGTTCATCGTTATGCAGGGCGCCACCAACCATAGGTCGTGTGCATACAAAACCGCGTCTTGTCATTGGCTGCTGACGCGGACGTGCAGCATCAAGTCGCACACATCAAATCGTGCGCTTCAGAGTGACTACCGTAAAACTCCCCCTGGTGACGTGGTCGTACTCCTCGTCCGGCTCTTGTTCGTAGTAGCCAACGTCTGATTCAGCGGAGACGCTTCGATAGCGCCGCGATGTTTGTTTACAGAGGGGGCAAGGTATGCTCCTAGTTTTTTGGCCTGGCAGTGCATCAGTGTTAAAGAGAATCAGTATGTGAGAGGCCCACTTTTGCACACATAGTCTTCCAATCAGCTTCTGCGCCACCATTTACAGCGAGTAATAGCAGCGGTTCTCTTTCATCTTGTAATTCCGGACTAGTATTATCGACAGGGACGACAACTATTCGTCCAAGCTACACACAACTCGTCAGTAAACGCTCGCATAAAGGGAGGAAGTAGAGGAGTACGCGTGAACTCAGAAAGAAAAGAGAAGCAACAACCCACCTCACTCTCAACCATCCCCATCCCCTTCCCAACCCCCTCTTCACCCCTCGTCTCAGCCCACACTTCAGCACTCAGCCCGGCCAATATCCATATCTCGTCTTTCGACCGGTGTAAACACATCGTCTGGGAAAATCCGCTACCTGATGCAGCTTTACCAAGCGCGTGCGGAGATGTACTACATTCTGTGCTCCCGCGTAATGGTGGAGTACGGCATGGTGGCGGAGTGTGTCCGTTGGCGCTTGACGCGTGAGCATTAGGAGGGGTCATATGTCCATTGCTGCTAGGATGTTTAACCATGCGCGTTGTATTTCTTTGATCGCTCCCATTTCCACTAGCCGTTGACGAACAGGCAAAGGAGACAATTGCACCCTCTGGTGTCAGAAGGAGTGCAGTGTGAATGGTGTCAGTAGGTGAAAGTAGTTGTGTAAGATAGGTTTGGAGTGTTGAGAGGTTTAGCATCTGAACACGGTCGAATATTACAATCCTTGGATCCGTAAATACTAGGTCACGATGTGACAAATATTGGAGGCTTGCTCTGGTGGTGGCATGTGGACAACGAGAATTCCCACAACACTGCCACAGCTAAAGAATTGAAGCTACAAGACCCTGAAATCTTATTTAGTTCATATATATATATGAGTAGTTTGATATGAAATTGACCAGTACTACAGTTTTTTTTCGTTGTGTACAGCAGAGATACTTTCAAGGTATGGATGAAACTGTGTCAGAGATAATACAACTGGCGTCTTGACGAGTCCATCATGGCATGTTATGTCCCCAACTCGTGTGATGATATTATAATCTGACGCAATCCTCATGTACTCCCCACCATGCTGCGCAAAAGGTTGTCCAAGACGAACGAGCAACCTCAACGGTCACGAATGAGACCGCGATTCAGCTAGGTGATTGTTACGCGGCTGCCACAGCGAAAGTGCGCCAAAACGCTCCCAGCTGGTCTTCTGTTGTGATTAGCAGGACTTAGAGCCCATATACCTTTGTCGTTGTAGGGAAGAACAATGTCTCCTAGTCGTGACCGCGCCTCCATCTGAGTTCGGTGACCGGAAATGCGATGCAAGGGAGTTGCAATCTGGAGTTTGCGAAACGTAAAGCACTGATGTTTGCCCAGTATGCTATACAGTTTCAAAGTGGACTTCACAGCCACATAATGTCACAGCTGGGAGATATTGTGTTCGGATAGAGCTGGCGACGAGCATGGCGGAGCTTTCTACGAGACAATATCGGCTGGCAGACAACAATTGAAGTTGGATAATTGTTTCACCCAGTCCAGTGCAGTGATCACCTGAATGAGCTCCTGCAAGAGACTTCTGAGCACGTTCCGTATCTTCTCTCCGTAGATGGCAGGTAAATGGACACCGAAAATGCCCAATAATTAGTACCCGTAACGTGGTGACACGGCTAAATGTCCATTATATTTCTCTCGTGCGCCTCTCATTCTTGAACAGAAGGCAACGAGCGCCCGTGCATCTATGTCAGTCAAACCCTCCAACTACTGCATGATAGTGACAGACTCCTTGTGGTCGGAAAAACCGGTATCGAGAGTGTCCAGTCTACTTGGTAAGAGAACAATTTTAGGAGCGAGAAACTCCTGGACAGTCCATCTTCGCGTGTTCCAGCTGCTATTTTGGAGCGCGTCAGACTTCGAGGACGGCGGCGCATTCGACAGGGTGCGATTTGGATTATGAGCACCCATGCCTTACGCTTGAATAGTGATGAAGCGCTGAAGCACAAGTTCGAAATAAGAGTCCATGCTGTCCGGAGTTGACAATTCATGGGCGTGAGCCAGGAGTGGGAGAAAGAGGAGGAATATAATCCTCGTTCACCTTTGGCTGCCAGTCCTTTGGCCTGCTGAAGAAACCTGTACGAGGTTGCACATTGAAACATGGTCAAGAACTTGTCGAGAACCTAGTGATTTGAAATGTACAGCTTCCGAATAAAGAAACTCTCGGAAGCCTTTAGACAACAGACTAAAACAACGCGTACGCTTCGCTCCAAGTCGTCTAGCACAACTGATTTACAATTACCACGGTGAATTCTGATATCAACACAAACCTTGTATTATGCGTGCGGCTTCATGCACATGCCTCTGACAGAATTGTGATAAACAAAGTCGCACGTGATGATATGCCTATCTCAGGCTGAACAAATATGTGATGTATCCTCAACTTGAAATGAAGCTGTTGACATCCAGTCCAGAGAATGCTACCCCCATGATAATGAAGGTATTACGGACTGCGTTCTTTCTGTTGCATTACCACCTAGCTCCTACTATCTTCACATAAACGCTAATGTCAAACCATGGTTTCGATCTGAAAAAGTATTTCGGTGTCCATTAAGTGGTTACTAGATGATATCAAGTCCTCCAATTCTCACCTCAGCGGCAAGGACTAGGCTGGCTCACAACGAAATGAACAGCGAAGGTAAGTGTCTTTGCACGTTTACAATTAAACATGCAACTGACATTACACATGTCAGAAGTTTCAGGCCTGGTGCTACGCGCCTTCTTATGTTCCTCTACCGCGCAATATTCAGCTGTCCGCTTGTACTGGAGGTCGTATGTTTCTCTTTCGAGCTTTACCATTGTCAAAGCTCGCGGTTGTAGTTGAGTGTGCCGTGACTATCCTTCACGAAAATCTCACTGTTGCCATACTTCGAACCTTGATGGAGTTGTACTGTTGCACGCACCGGTAATGTCATACCCTTTAGTGAGTAAGCGCCAGTACTTACTTGAACGCCCGTCTAGGTCTGACAAAGGATGAGCGATGTGTGGTGAAACGTTTGTGTTTTTGTGGATTGATGCACGCATGGTGCTTCAAAGCAGTTGAATAGACGCCACAGATATGTTTCCTATGGTGGAGTGACCACACACACTTGCCTTTTTACGACATGTTGTCGGGGCATAATGCTCATCCACAGACGCGCTTTGTATGGCGTTTATCCACATGTTGTGAGGTTAAAAACCTGGCATTCTCTCCTTCACTTCTCTATCTCTCGTCCTCTTTCCTTTGCCACTTCATCTTAGCCATTTGATATTACTTGTCCAAATCATTGATATGTCTAGGTAAGTCTACTCACATGTCGACTCGGTATATCCATATGCTGATGATGCCTTCCGCATTTAGTGCCTCATGCAACAATTTTCAGATGTCGTTGGATAGGTTGGTGTTCACTCTCGAGTCGGATGACGCGGTTCACCTCATGATTTTTTAGCCGGTCTATCCTTCCGTGTTCTGAACCTAGAATAGAACCCGAAGCCAATGCCAACATGGTCTCGGAAAACGTCCAAGAGTTTGCTCATCCCAACGATATAGCCGCCATGCAGGCTGAGTATGTGTTTCTGCTTCAAAACATCTGCCAGAACTAACGACCTCTGGCAGGTGGGCTCAGGCCTGTGCTGAACATGAATACCTAAAGGCGCATCAGTGGTACGTGCCACCAACCGAGTGCCAACTATTTCTCTTTTTTTTTTCCAGGTCTTCAGCGGCTTTGCAGGTCATCCGAGACAATCAGGAGTCATTTCCGACGTTGAACCAATTCACCGCTCCGGTGGCTGGTCTCCCCCAGTTTCCCCCAATGGACCAGAACCAATACTATTCTCAGCAGGCCACCGTCGTTCCTCAACTATCGCTGGAGGGCCACGCATGGTTCCAGCCTGGCTATAATGGCGGTTCGTATGCGAATGGACCTAATCTTACTCAAAATCACCTTCTTACCGTCGTCGATCTAGAGCGTTGGGTAGCGGAAGATCCTCGCACGTATGGAAACGCACACGCTGGTGCCATCATGGACACGATGTCGGATACCGAAACCTTTTTGCCGTCCGCGTCTGACTCTGACGCGACAATGTATCTGAGTGATGATAGCAGCTTGGAGCCATCTTCCTCAGCTCCCATTGGGCAGACGTGTGCCAAACGTCCCAAGCGTAAAACTCGTCATACCGTTACATACGAGGAAGACAGTTCGAGTTCGTCTCCCGCACCAGCCACGCGCAAGCGCAGATGCTTGGACGACGACGAAGACGAAGTGAGAGAGGGAAAGTTTGGTTTTTACAGACTAGCGGACGCCACTGCCGTAGTCATGGCTGTACCTGTTCACGACCCGAAGCCGGTAGACATCAGCAGTCGCAGGACCCACGATGCCCACGGTAATCTTCTTCGAACAAGGGGATTTGGTGCGATGGAACTCGATGATTCCTACTCCAAGCGGTCCGTCAAGATTACGAATGAACTACCCGCAGGGATGACTTGCGTACGAGCATGCGAGTGGACGGACCAGCCCTGTGGGCTGTTTGTAGAAATGAACAAAGTCCTCGTCGCAGATCACCTGTTGCATTGGCACGGTGTCGAATCCAAAGGCACGACTCTCTGCAAATTCGAGGGTTGCTCGAAACCAAAGGCAATGCTCAATTTGGGCCGGCACATCGAGGGCATCCACTATACTACGTCCTACGAATGCCCCTATTGCGGCAAGCGGTGGTCCAGGTCCGATTCTTTGGATCGGCATCAAGTGACATGCAGACCGCTCCTTGAAAGCAAGGCCCGTGCTAAGAAGGGACGTCGCAAGTTTGATCTTCAAGACCCGAAGAAATTGGTCTATGGATATATCGTTCCTGCCCGTAATGCGACATAGTTTAGCATACAACTGTACGTCCCCCTTTGCCTTTATCTATCGCTGCTGCTAACTTCCTGTTGCCGTCATCTAGTAATTGCTGCGATTCTTCACGAACTTTTGCTTTTTCTATGATCACAACACTCGTTTCTTTCACTCGTAGATATATATTTGGCCGAATCACTTCATATCATCGACACTCCTTTTGCATCAAATATTCCCTCTTTAGTGTGTTTCCTCTCCTCGTTATCGCTTGGTATATCCTTTATCTGTTTATTGCATAACCCTTATCGCACGTTGGACGTAGCTATTGTATCTCATCGTGTTGCTTGATGTATACTCTTAGATATGGACGTTGTATGATGGACTTGAAACTTGAAGATTTGCATACAACAATGGATATCACATATGGTGGTGTTGCAACGTTTGTGTGATGTGTCCTTCCTGATACTGCTCAGATATCATGATGTCACGTAGCGGGAATAAACGCGCGTTATATTTTACAATCTCTTCATTCTGCTGTATGTACAGCGAGCCATCAATGTGCTCCAGTCTGTTTTGCAACCTAGTTTATGTTCTGTTCTGTTCTGTACTACTCAATATCTCACATCTGCAAGGCACTCCTCGCGCTTCGGTTATCGATGAGAAGCCATATCCGGGGCAAGGACCCAAGCAGCGACTGATGCATCTTATTGGTGTATGCTTATTTTACCTGGCCGTCTGCCTGATAACGATACATTATACCTCATGGGGGAGTTTTCCATCTCGCTGGCGCCAGATTGCCCAGCTTGAGCTTGAGTGGACAAGGCCTGACAGTCTCTCAGAATGATTATCAGCAAACGCAGTTGGGGAAACATGCCTTCACGATATTTCAAGCGACCTGGAGACGGTGTCGTCGCTCTTGACGGGTTCTATTTGGTGTCTGGTTTTCCGTCTCACTGGCAGATGTAATCATTCACGTTAGCAAGGCGGGCAGTTTGTCATCCAACTCCGCTTGGAGTAGCTAAGGGTACCCACACCTAATCGCAGACAGATATGGAGTCTACCCCGGACATGCACCCAGACCGGCCGTGTCTTGCACATTCACGAGAATCGTAGAGTGTCACCGGTCTCGGCACCCCACATAACAACCGAGCAATCACATGGCCCGCTTGCCAGTCTCTGGCCATCGGGCGAGACATTGAGAAGTACAGTATGCACTCTGTCTGTGTGCTTCACCAACGGGTCGAACACTTCATGCTTGCACTCGACATCCCATGGCGACAGAGCAACTGAGTACATGTTGTCATTGTGTGTCCCTCGAATGGCTGTCCTACCAATGGCCCTTTCTCTACGTTCCAGATTCGTCGTTCGGCGTGATCCTCTCACAATATGATGCGGTTTTTTGTGCTACATCATGCACTCCTGATATGTCGCGTCGGCGTAGAAAGTGACATAGATGGTCAGTAGCATTTGAAGTTGTCGAGGAGCGTACTTCATATTGAGGCTCGAACATACATCCGGATTCCGATATGGTATATTTCATCATACGTGATATCTCCTGTGAACGTTTGGATCGGAACTCCATATTGCTGTGAGAGCGGTGCTGAGCGCTGAGCGCTAGGCTGAGTGCTGCCAGTGGGTTTTATGTAGATGATGTGACCCTGAAGACAAGGCGAATGTGTACTTATTTTACTTCCGAGTTATATGAGGTTATATGAAGCTCTTGGTCCAATAAAAAGCTGAGCTGTCAGAGGTTGTCAGCCTTTTTTTTTTTTGGACACTCGTTGTTTGCTTGTTGTCTTGTTGCTGGCAACGCGATGCTGCCGTCGGAACAACAAAGTGACTGCCGGGCTGTACTAGGCTATACTAAGCTATACATATGCTTATGTAATCGTGATCTTCCAAGAAAGAAAGACAAAAAGCTTGATCAGTGTACAATGTACTTAAGAATCATATAAATCATTCAAGTCCCCCACTTTTCGGTCCACTCAGGACCTTCTCATTTTCCACTTATACGAACTCTGGCCTGGTGCCATACTGTCTTTCTCCGGCTTCATTCTTCCACTGATAGTTCGCCAGTCGATCTCAAATTCTGTTCCGACTACTTTGCTAACTGTTCCAGTTGTCGCTAGTCGACGTTGCTCTTCCTGTTTTTCTCTCACTCTTTTGTACTGGCAAACTTGAAGTTCTTCACGCGTGATGCAGTTGTCAATCGTTTTCGCTGTGTTACTGGCATGCATTTTACACAGTACCCCATCTGATGCAATCCCTGCGAGGGCGCATCACCAGAGGCTGGCCCGGGCTAACCCAAGGACGATTACAATGCCGCTTAAACGGTTACACGTTCCACGAACCGATGTCCACCCACAATTGGTGAGCCAATATGATCATCACCTCCGTGTAGCCCCTGATGTTTTGATGGCACAGCTTCTCCAACAACACATCAACCGTGGCAATAAACGCCTTGCACGTATGACTGGACGTTCAGAACCTGCTGAACATGAACTCCGTGCAGAGATGCACAAGAGGATGTACCTTCTTGAAAGCGGTTCAGTCAATCCCAGTAGTGCTACCACGGCGACCGGGAGCAACTTTAGCAGACGCTATTGGCGTAATTCCAAACATGTTGCACAGGCAGCAAGCAATACTTCTTCCACTAGCACTGATGGTGGAGTTTCTGCTCTCGACATTCAAGCTGCCGAAAATGGTGGTCTCACTCCTGCTAAAATTCCTACTGCTAACAACACTCTTGGTCTTGCTATTGAGTGAGTCTGGCTGTTCTTCTGCTGAAATGGGTCAATTGATTATTGTGCAGTGCGGATGATGTCGGATATATTGCAACTATCCAGATTGGTACTCCCCCCCAGAATTTCAATATTCTCATGGACTCTGGTTCCGCCGACTTCTGGGTCGGTAGTGAAACTTGCCAATCTCAGCAGGGTACTTGTGTAAGTCCTTATCAGTAGCAGCTGCTATAAGTTGCTCACAGCAGTTCAAGGGGAACCATACTTTCCTTGGCTCTAAGTCGTCAAGCTCTTTCGTTCAGTCCAATCAAAATTTCAACGTGACTTACGGGTCTGGATCCGTTGCTGGTGTTCTTTGCCAGGATAACGTCAACATGGCGGGTTTGCAACTCAACAAGCATACCTTCGGCGTAGCAAACGAGGAGAGTGTACAATTCTCTGCAGATACCGTGCCTTTTGATGGGCTAATGGGTCTTGCCCAGTCAGTAAGTCGACTTGTTGATCTTGAGGTACCGACACGTACTCATGGATTCTTTTTGTAGACACTTTCCAATGAAAAGGTCCCCACTCCTGTCGAATCTTTGGCGTCCAATGGTCTCATCTCCTCAGCTATTTCATCTTTCAAGATCTCACGTCTCGCTGATCAACTCAACGACGGTCAAGTTACATTCGGCGGATTGGACTCCACTAAATTCGTCGCCAACACCCTTGTTACTATCCCCAATGTCAGCAAGATAGGGTTCTGGGAGGGCGCTATGGATGCAATCACGGTCAATGGACAAGACACAGGCATGACCGGGCGCACTGCCATTCTTGACACTGGTACCACTCTCATCATCGCCCCTCCGGCAGACGCCCTGGCAGTTATAGCCATGCTTGGTGGTAAATGTGATACTCAGCAGTGTACGATTTCGTGCACGTCGAATACAAGCGTTGCGCTTTCCTTTGGAAATGCCTCGTTTACTATTGACCCCAGAGACATGGCGGTACTGCCTGTCGACGTCAATGACCCAACTGGTGACTGCACAGCAGGTATTCAACCTGGCACTATCGGGACGAACACGGAGTGGCTGGTATGTGGCTCTTTTCAATTGTATCATCGGTCGTTGACTCCTTTCGGCAGGTCGGAGATGTGTTTTTGAAGAATGCGTATTTCTCTGTGGACACGCAGAATAACAAAATTTCTTTGGCCAAGCTTTCTTAGTTTCTACTCCGTGAACCACCGAGTCACAGTGTAGTGTATGTATTGTTTGCTACCAGCAGGATCGCGGGATCGATTCTTACCTAAATTCGGGGAAAGACATTGAATTATCTTCAAGTTGTACACTAGCCATCATTCATTGCTATCATCACACAATAAATATTAATTGTTTGAAATCTGAAGAATAAAGCCTATACCGTACATACACAATACTGCAACAATAAGTTTATCTCTACTTTTTTCGCAGAAGTTCTTTCGCGATTTCCTCATTATCTGCTGACTGGTCTGGTAGCCAAAAAGCCTGTACAGTGTGCTATTAGCACAAGATACGTAGACGATGAAAGATCGAGATATTTACCAATTCCGCCCCTGCAGATACAATCATAGCTAACCGAGGATTGAATCTCACACATCTAGACGGACCGGGATGGCCATCAAGAGTAGTAAGTGGCTGAAGCCGCGTTGGATGAGCCTTGAGATCAACGACGCCTGACCGCACAGGCAAGTTTTGAACGTCCCATATGATTATTTTCCCGTTCAAACTGCCGCTGACAACATACTTGCTATCCGGCGTCCAAGATACCTCCTCGCCGCTGTTGCCCTTCGAGGGGTCGATAGTCTGCGGGGCATCGATGCGTCGCCGCTCCAACCCAACGTGGCCCTCCAACTTGGCCAATAGATGACCTTCAAACGCGTCCAAAATGTAATGCGCATCACCAGAACAGCCCACAAGGATGTATTTCGCGTTTGACGAAAATGAGAGAGACGTCATGTATATCGGGCGAGGTGGGTAGCTGACTAGGGCGAGAGTGGGATCTTCTAGCGTTATGGTCAAGAACGGGTCTTTGTCGTAGTTTGCTTGGTCGTACAGAAGTATCCGTGAATAGTGATTCACGCCCACTGCGAACACCAACCCACTGGAATCATACGCGACGATGGGCGATGCAGGTAGGTTCAGGAGTCCGCGACATGTCGGGGCTCGGAGGTCCCATAATCGAACCGTTTTGTCTACTGAGCCGGACATGAAACCATCGTCGATGGGTGAGACTTCTAAGGAGACGACGCGTCCGCTGTGCCCCTTGAAATACTGCAAGTATTTATTGTCGTGAAGTGAATGATACCGAATTGTATCGTCTTCCTTCGTCGAAGCGTGTACGACGGTAGTATGCCTATGTGTGAAACGAGGAAGGTCGACCCCATATTTTTTAGAGTACAGCGTTTTGAGATGTCTGAGCGCAGTATCAAAAATTAGTGGCCAGAGGGAGATAGAGTGTCAAGAACTTGCTTGCCCGTCTTGCAGCTGTACAACCGAAAAGTCTCATCTTCAGCTGCAGTCAACACTTGATCTCCCCGGTCATCGAATGTGATAGCAGTGATATGTCGTGGCCCTTGATGTGGTCTAGCAACAGGCGTTGATGGCGGTGTCGACTCAACGGCTCCCTTGAAGATTTTCGCGGGCTTCAACTTTGTCTGGAACAGGCCTGTCAGCACACGCACACAGAGACTGATTCTTGGCTTACCATCAACGCATTTGAGAGTGGAATCGTCGCTGGTGGAGGTGCTGCTGCATTGCCGTTAGAGGTCGTTGGTGGAGGCGGCATTGAGAGGTTCGTCAAGAATCACTTTGGGCGTCTGAGTTTCAATACTACTTTTGCCGGCTACTCCCCTCAAGCTGAAGGATGTCTGAGGACGAAACTGCGAAACTATGGAAGGTCAATCGGACAATACATGAACTTGTAAAAGATAGGGTGCGAAATCATGTTCCTTGGTGTATTAGTGCATTTTTAACGAGCCAATGACGAAGGGGTACCAAGTCTCGGACGATGAGATCAACATGGACCTGACTACATTCAGGTCGCACTATGCAAACAGTGGAGGCAGCGTCGAGTCAGTTGTGGTTATTTATGCAGCACCGTGCACTTGCAGATGACTTAACACGCATTTCCAGTCGAAACCAACTTAATTTCTTCACGAACTCCAGAGAAAATCCAACAGACCAGATTTTTATATTCTTTTCAGACGAGAAAAGCGTTGGCGTTAAAACAATGCGGAAGTTCGTCTATGTACGCCCCTTGTGCCCGTTCGTCTGATGTAGGGTGAACATACAGGCTTCTGGGTATTCTCGAGGAGAAGTCGATTATGCGGGGGATCATTATCTTTCCTGGCAACATGACTCCATCTGCGCGAAAAGTGCGAGCTTGATTCTATGTTCTTGCGGTAGCAACCTTACGCTTGCTTTGCAGGTAATTGCGGCGATGTCCCAACAATATCGGCTCGAGGAGTTCTCAGAAGCCGACCTCCTCGTCAATATCACGCATCACACACTGGTCCCGCGGCATGAGGTGTTGACTGTCGAGCAGAAAAAACAACTTCTTGAAAAATAGTACGTTATATTCTCAGAATGATGTTACGTGTTCTCACATTGCGATCCACCTAGTCGGCTGAAGGAGACCCAGCTTCCTCGAATACAGCTGGCCGACCCCGTGGCACGATACTATGGACTTCGGAGAGGCCAAGTCGTCAAAATCACTCGTCCTAGTGAAACCAGTGGCCGATATGCCAGTTATCGTATATGTTTCTAGAGAAATATGTTATGGTTTGCATAGTTTTTCCATTATCATATTCACATGTATACTAGCACCAGAACGCGAAACAGTTCACGCGGGGGTACTACTACTTGGCAGGAGCGACGTTCCCGCATTCCTTACACTTCCTCAATTCTTCGGTCGACATCCAGCGTTGGATAACAGGCTTCAGTTGCGTTCCAAGGTCAGTGACGTGGAAGGTCTCTTTGTGAATAATAGTTGGCTTGGTATGGGAAGGATCACGACAGTACCACTGCAGGGAGTCTGAGTGCGGGGAAGCGTCAAGACACAATATCTGGCGCAGTAAGGATCTGTACACACCATGAGACTCATCCGGACGAGCAGCTTCGATAACAATTCCGATTGTATCGGCGAAGCGGACGGGATTGTGGGGTGTGTTGGCTAACGTAATTTTGATAAAATCGGTTCATCTAACGATGATAAGAGTCCTCAACGTACCTGGCAGTAAAAACATCTCTCCCTCCTCGATCCTGATATCCTTGAACTCAACCCCATCTACCACTTTAAGCAGCATACCACCCTTGTACTGATAGAACCATTCCTAAAAACGAAATCGGTACAATTTCTTATCTTAGCGATCGCAGAGACGCACTTCGGTCTCGTTCACATGATAATCGTTTCTCTCATTGGGACCACCTACAGCCATCACAGTAAAATCCTTCTGCCGGTATAGGCAGAAGTTGTTCACAGGAGGTTTGAGTAGGTGCTGGTTCTCGTCGAGCCAGCGCGGGAAATTGATAGGTGGAAGGAGAGGCATCGCAAGATGTGTTTATTAGCAAGTTGGTCCCAGAATTCCTGGACCCGCAGATATATGTCCTCCGTCTCACGATCGTCACCACCCGCTTGCGGTTCGTCTTATCCCGTGGGGCTAGAGATTCTCGATATGTTTATATTTTCTCGCGCTCTCTCTTCACCTCCTGTCTCTGGTCCATGTCAGCGTCTTCGTCGTCCGCTGTAGCTTCTCCACTTGCACTTGTCCCTCCCGTGTCTCTTGTTCTCCATTTTCACACGACATTAACCTCCCCACCATAATACCCACTACACACTGTAGCGGGAATTACATTCTCCTCACGTTCTTTGCTGGCCCTGGACCACACTGCCATGGCAGTGTACGAGGTATGCGACAGTGAAGAGTCGGTCTGAGACCCACCAATGATCATGTTCATACTTCTGTAACCTACCACAGAAATAGTGTGTCCTCTGGCTACCCTCTTACCCGCTCGTTACACGGCGCAGGCTGGGAATTGACTACAGCTAACCAACAAGCTGCAGCAGCCACTAGATCCTGAAATATTGAAAATGCAGGTGGGCTGAATGAGGAGCGAAATGTACGGTCCTCGGTCTAGCCCGAGGAAAGACAATACACACCGCGACGAGGCTAAATTATCACCACGAACCAAATAAATATGTATAAGTACTACAAGAAGTTCTGTCTTCGATTTCGGAACACCAAATAGCGCGACGAAGCTAAATATCACAGCGGAACAAATAAATATGCATGCTCCCCGCACAGTACCGTGGTTAATCATTTGGATCGTTCCATGTGCTACACGTCAACGCATCTCCCCCGATCGACAGATCTCCACCGGTATGGAAAGCAATGGACGTCATGCCTATTTCCCCGTCGGCCCTGGCTACGAACTTCGCGTGAGATTTTCGAACGCTGAGGATCAGACGCGGTCCCAGCACAAACATCTGCAATATCTGGGCAATTGCCCAAACGCCAAAGTAAATAAGACGTTCCGTGGTGTTCTGCGGAAAAATGATGAGATGGTGATCAGCCGCAGATGCCAGTCACAGGTCGGCGCACCGTGATATTTGGAGCCAGTGAGCCAAGTGTGAAGCAAGTCATGGTAACAAAGCTAGCAAATGAGAAACCTCAGTGAAACAGGATAACAACGTCTAAATCACCTATAGAACTCACGCTAGAAAGTAAAACGTGTGGCTCTCTATTAATATCGTGAAACAGTCCCCAATGGTCGATCCTGTCGGCGATTGTTGCAGTTCACGGAAGTGCTTTATAACAATCCAGACTGCAAGAAACAAGACGAGGATCTCCCATACAACAGTGAATATCACACTCTCGTAAATCAGATACATCATGTCAATGTCAATGTCGGTAATGCAGGTATGGAAGCCGGAAAGGACAGCCTTCTCTGGTAAATGTCCGTGAGTCTCTTGTGCTCGACTTTCATCAACGATTAAAACTTACGCGATGAAACACCCAGGTTCGCAATGACCATCATAACTCCGGAGGCGATTGTGGATGCTAGTAAGGCTGCAACAAGAAAGATGAACAATGTTTTCGATCCTTGATGCATGGCATTAATCCGAGCAATCATAATGCCTTGGGTGATATTTCAGTCAAGTCAATGTCAGGAAGGAAACCACGGGTGGGCTCACCACCCAACATGGCATTGACGATGACAGGATTCCATACCTGTATGTACCAAAGGACAGTGCCTGGAATACCATTTACTTGGTGGTGGAATAAATACTTTAAATGCACTCACAGCTGTTGAAGTCGTTACCTTGAAGACACAAGCCGACCGTGAATATCACTCACCCCTATATAGGAGTGTAGTAAGTAAGATGAGATTAATGGAAATGGCAGGCATCGGTGCAGAATACGCACTACATCGGTAATAGAGAGCAATACTGCATGCCGCCGGTCAGAAGAAGCAAATACATGTGAGGACACATACGCAGTATGTTAATGCTGGTTGAGAGAGATGACTTATTAGCACATTGCAGTGTAGGTAACCTTGAAAACGTACATAAAATATTGTATTCCGATGTAGCGCACCTATGTAGCATATGTTGAGCACAAGATTCCAACTGCGCTCGTAACAATAACATACACAGATATAAAGAACAGTCATGAAGGACCAACGTGGCCTCTGCCCCGAGTCAACTGCATCACGCAATTTTGTTCAGATACAGGACTTTGCTCACCAAGATCAATTCGAACTGTTAAAGCATTCTAAGTTAGTAGTGAGATGCGCAGGTCATGACACTTGAACTTACCTCTTGTCCGAACGTCAATGCTTGAATATTGAATACATAGTATCCATAATCCCTCGGAACGTATTATCTTGCTCACCCCAGTCGTATATCACTGCAGTGGAGCACGCAACTGCGAAGCAATAGTCAAACATATTGAGATGTCACCGTCGACATCCAAATTGCTCTCCACGAACCTAGAAAATAGTTGTATAGACGACAAAAATTGATGATCGGCCACCAAGCGGGATCATCTGAGAGTATGGTCATATCGGGATGGGGCTTGTGGAATATGTGCAGATAGTATACTGCCATCCATAACTTTATAGCAATTAGTCTGAGTGAGCGTACGATGCCCTGTCACTACTCCCGGAGCCACTATTCGGATGCCAAGCCGTGGCGCAAACACTAGAAGGTATTAACATCATGATATCAGCTCAGTCAAAACCGGAGAATGCGAGAGACGTCCGGAGAGTGCCGCATGTGCACCGCCAACTGAAACCAGCGCCCTCGCACGATCTCGACAAGAAATTTGGACGAATACACGATGCAAAGGTAGTGTCGTCGTGCGAGATTTGTTGTAGGTAGTTCATATCATGCGAGAACATTGTTCATAGCTATTAGCTACTACTACTACTACATTAGGTGAACTTTCTGATTTGGCTGGATTGCCATCTGCCCACAGCTCATCAGATTTTGTCTTGGTCTCATCTGAAATCAGATCAATCAGGTCCATCAGATGTACAGTCAGAACAGCAGATTGTTCAGACATGCCATCTCAACGTTGCAACCATCGTGCATGGCTCAAAACATCAGGGAAACCCTGACTTAGATATAAATAGCAAATTATGAAAACTCTTCTTTCTCGACGGTGTTATCCGATCTACCTTTCGTAATTCGCCTATCGTCTGCACCGATTTAGTGTGTTCCTCGTATACCGCCTCTTCCTAGTTCCTACTATCAACGTTACGTTGCTTTCTCCACATCCCAAATTCGCAAGGTTTGATCATACGGAGCAGTGATGCCAACTCGTTGGCCGTCTTTGAAGAATGTAACTACTTACCCGCACTTTCTCCATGTGGACTTGCATCGGCGTCCATATTAGGGGCGGCAGCAGCGCGTTCTGTCATAACATATTGTGCTCTTTTTGCTACATCAATGCGTTGGCTTGTGTGGTGAGTATCACTAGAGTTGGATTTTTTAACTCATGTAGGCGCTGATACAGGACTTTTGTTTGCCCTGTCCCATCTCCATCTCGCGCTGCGATCTTCACTGCCATACTACACCACATCCGTGCACGAACCCGACCGGCGGCGCCTAATGCATCTTACCAGTCCGCCCTGATTTTTCTCCCCGTCTGCTTCAGAGATTTGCACGTCCTGTGTAAGTATACTATACAAGTGCTGGCACCAGTCCGCTGTTGACAGTCATCAAAAAATCTGAACGTAATATTTGATAAAATACGCCTTTCAGATATTTCCAGTGCGCAATAGAGGAGTGAACTATCAGTCTGCTTTGCCTATGTCAGTTGTAATGATTCACGTTGGCAAAATCTCTGCTCGATGAACAACAGTTTTTACCTTTGGACTCAGCAGAAGTGGACCAACTACTTTTTTTTGTATCCATTTTTGTCCGTTGAGTGACATTACTGTCTAGTCTTGGGACCCCAGTGTGTCGCGACCCCGACTCAAATCCCTATATGCAATGATGTAGGGCGTACCCCTACCGGGGCCTGTCTTCGACGAGGCTGCATTCAAAATCCACAGGCTTCAGCACCCCGGCGTCTGTTCATCTGAGCGGACGAATATTGTCCAGTGGCTATATACCATTCTGCCGTTCCGTTCTAGATGGGTGATCTGTCAAAGAGTAGACTAGGGATGACCCCATCTCAATCTACGGAGAAAGTGAACGCAGTGCATTGGTTAACATCGCAATCGAAATTCGTCTGTCATAACAATGCTATCTTATGCTCTACTCGCGCGGCCCACATCGATGCACGTCTTTACGCGCGCATGCCATTGGAACCATTGCTACAGCATCTATCATACAAGAACGTTCTATATATACACTCATCGTACTCATAATCACAGCATACCTCGATTCACGTTCAAACAAAAAGCCATCGTCCCAGATTATCTGCCCACGCCGTGAGATCTGCTGTCGCCTTACCAGTAAAAGTATCGCGCAATGATTCAACAGCTCCAGCACGGGCCTCGCTCTCACAAGGCGATTCGGGGGGCGTCGCCAGCGGTTGAGGCTGGTTGTACGGTGAGAGGATGCCGAGACCACTTCCGCCGACTGACGTGAGGTAGGGCACGAAGCTATCCCCGGACAATGCTGCCATCAGTTCACGAAGACTGGATTCCGACAGGTCTTGAGAGGGGGTAAATGAGTGAAGATCAAACATGTGTAGAGGGTACTTACCATCAGGAACGAGAGTTACTGCACAACCTCCACCTCCTGCACCAGTGAGTTTTGTACTGAGTGCATATTGAGGGGAGGCAGTCTTGGAGCGGATGGCTTCGAGAGATGGATGTGATACCCCAAGTTTTACGAGGTAGCCATGGTTCTCATCGATGAGAGCCTGAAAGAGTATATTTCCTGAGCATTCCAGAAATAGACAAAAAAGAGGAACGTACCGATAGAGCTGACAGTAGTGTTTGCCGTGATAACTGGGGATCAGCAAGCGCACGCTGCGCCTCATCGCTTATGTATTGTATTGCACTAAGCAGCCCATTCACAAACTCGGGCTCTTGCTCCTTCAACGCAGCCACACCAGCCACAAGCTGCTTTGTGTTTCTTGGTACCCTCGAGTCCGTTAAGAGGAATTTGAGAGACTTGAAACTGCAAAAAAATCAAATCAGTAATCCACCAACAAACGCCAACGGTACTAAACATACCCCTGAATGGGAATCATGCCTGCTTTCCTGCCGAATCCTGGTCTGGTATACGAAAGTGCGCCACCAAAAACCGAAACAGAGTTATCTACGCCACTGGGATTACCGTGCAAGATTTTCTCGCTCACGAATGCCCATCGGTTGACTTCCTCAGCAAGTGCTGGCGGTATTGCACGCCGACCCCCGTGAGAGACGTGGACGTGACCATCGGTGGTAGGGGCGGGCTGTGCTGGGAGTTGGATACGGGAGTACAACAGTAAGAGAGCAGTGGCTGCGCAGGCGGAGAATGATGCGGAGGAACCGAGGCCTGCGCCGACAGGAAGTGTGGCGCGAGCGGAGAAGTTAAAGGATGGTCTAACGGCTTTTGATAAACCATCGGATAAAGTCTAGTTAGCAGAGGGCTCACCTTTTCCCGCCATGCGCCATGATCATGTACATGTACAGGAACGCAATACACGCCTGCCGTGCACTCGGCTTTGCAAGAACCTCGGGAGACAATGCACGAGTAGTAATCGCATCAACGAGCTTGTGGTCCAGAGTATCAGGGTGGAAATCACCGACCCGCACGGGAGTGACTGCATCCCAAGGGAGGTCATCCACTTCCCACTCTTGCGTGAAGCTATCAATATCGATGAAGTGCACGCTGACTTTACCATCATGACGAGGCGTCGTAACGCCATAGCACCGGAGATCCACGCTTGCAGCCACTGCTGTCTGAAAGGATCTGTTAATGCGCAGAGTAGATAATAAAGGAGGAAACTCACGACACCGTGCACGACAGCATGTTCACCGAAGAGAATTACCTTTCCAGGTGCGCTGACGAACCACTCCCTGTCATCATTGTACTCTGTGGTGTATTCTGCAGACCCGTTAAATGCAAGTTTCTGGACGGCACGGGAGATCGCAGTGCCCTCTGAAGGGATCGTCCGAACATAGCTTTGGTGCAAGTCCCCGCCTGCGGTGAGGGTGATTGCGCCAGCCTCCAGGAGAGCACGTTCGAGGTCGTCGAGAAGGTCAGCTGGGTCTTCGATACCAACGCAAAGTCGGATCAGGTCTTCTGGCAGGCCCCGCGCAGCACGGGTAGCAGGATCAATAGACGCATGTCTAAGGAAACATCAATAAAACGATCGAGGAAAATAAGACTGACATAACATACGACATGACGCATGGCATGCTGATTAACGAGTTGACACAACCAAAACTAACGCTAATCCCCCATAGACGTGTCGCGCCGACGATGCGCTCACTTAGAGCCTTATCGCCAGTAGTGAAGCTGAGGACGGCACCATATCCGTCTGCAATTCGCTCGTGTACATCACGGTTAGGGTGCTCTGCGAGACCGGGGTAGTGGACTTTGAAACCAAGGCGGTGGAGCATCTGAGCAACGAGCATGGAAGTAGCTTGCTGGCGATCCATGCGAATGGCAAGGGTCTTCGATCCTCGCAGAAGGAGGAAACAGTCGAATGGAGTGAGTGCATTGCCAGCAGCATTGATAACGAATCCCATTTGCTGATTCGGGTATGAGAAAAGGGGAGTAAGCAAAAGACGAATCGCATACCTTAGCAAGGTCATCCCTGTTGCAGGTAATTACACCGGCCATAAGGTCATGATGCCCACTGAGATATTTGGTAGCGCTGTCGTACACAATATCTGCGCCATGCTCGAGAGGGCGTTGCAAGTAGGGACTCATCATGGTGTTATCGACGACGATGACGGCATTGGGGGCGCGTTCCTTGATATCAGCAGCTATACGGGCAAGATCGACTATTTTGAGCAGAGGGTTAGTTGGACTCTCGAGGAGAACCATGGCGGTCTTTTCAGGATTAATGTAAGGAAGAAGAGTGTCAGGTTTGGTGGTGTCTACATGATGTACGGTGACGCCGCCGTGTGTCTTGAGATAAGCAAGGATGCGGTTAGTACCGCCGTAAAGGTCATCTCCTGCAATGACTTCATCACCAGGCTTGAGTATACGCAAGATGGTGTCGAGGGCGGCCATGCCAGAAGATACAGCAAAAGCATGAGCAGCAGATGATATCTTGGCAAGATGATGTTCTAGAGAGCACAATAAGGCTATTAGTGAGCATACGATGAGATGACACCGACCTAGATGACTGCGTGTTGGATTTCCACTGCGAGTGTAATCATACTGTCCATTGACACCCTTAAAGGTGGCAGTTTGGTATATTGGTACAGAGCTAGAACCATATTGATCCTTTTGAGAAGGATTCTCGACTGTAGCGCAGAGGGTCGAGAACCGGTAAGGCTGGCGCGGCCTAAAAGGTGTTTCTGGCTCTGGTGTTGGAATGTCTTGTAAGAACATTTTAGGATTGGTCGAATCCATGATCAGAGAGAGAGAAAAGTAGTGAGTGACTAACGACCAGCAGATGACTTGTACTTAATGGGTTCAAAGGTGATCTATGAGACCACTTTGATCACGTGCCCCTATATTTTCCTTATTCGGTACCGAATTCATCATTTTTATGAATACTGACGAATATACTTTCCATAAAAGGACTATGGCGTGCTTGCACTGTTTTATTCCCACGATGGAGTCACGCTTTGGATCAAGAACATGGCACAATGTTGGGACCACCATGATCTCAGAGGCAAACCTTCTTATTTCGACATACCGAATATCAAAAATAAATGTTCTCGTTCATTTCCACGTGTGTCTGGTACGAGAAATATTGGTAAATGAAGAAACGGTTGTATTATCCATGATCTAGGGATTACTTCCGTGGGTCAGCTTGGTCGTGGCATCAGGATTATGGTCCCAGTCGACTCGCATGAACTAGAGCAAGACGTCAATTTCTCAGCCACAGACGTACGTGTTACCACCAAAAGAGGATGTAGATAGACAGCAGCGCGACAGTGACAGTGTTCCTATTTCTAACATTCTCGGTTCTAGAATGATACATTAACACAATTGACTCTATGGGGAGACCGCTTATCCCAGTTGCAATTGCTAGTCCCTGTCAGTAGTGCAGAAGAATCATTTGAAATGCCTTCGGACAATCCATGTCCTCGACATCCAGCCAAGGTCTTAACACAGTAGCAGCTTGCAAGTACTTCCGAAGAACTCTCTAATACTTGCAAGCAACTCACTCATTCTGTTTAAACGAGCTTTACCGTTTAGTTGATGTATTCTACACCACCGTACATACTATTTTGTTGTTTCGCTCAGCGCTGGCAGTTGTATCATGGTTTTGAGCTAATCCGATTATATAAGCGTCACGCAGTGTTTGCGGGTATTGCTTGTTGTAACTTGTCAGCAACCGACTTTCATGGCACCAAAGAGAGCAAGAGAGCAAGGTATGCTTTGCTGTCTTTTCGAGGTTCATTCAGATTTCATACCACTCAAGCTCCGAGACACGTCAATGCCACGAAGCAGACACTTCCTTCAGATATAATCATAAAACGGACTAAACGCCACCTAGAAGAGCTTGAGGTGACAGCTCATATTCACGTGTCATCGTCAGACCTGAACATTCATTCCACAGCGTTCAAATTATACAGAGCCTTCAATCACCTTCGACGATAATGACGAGGGCGCCATCAGCGGAAAGAACCGCGTCCGCCAGGTCGTTTCAGATAAACGTCACTTGAATGACCCTAATGCGAAGAAGAAAAAGTCGTCCATGAAAGTTCGGACCGCTCTCCTATATCGCAAGAATCTTGCTACCCTAATCGAGGAATCGGTAAGTTCATCTCCTTGCCCAGACTCTTCCTACATACCAAAGCATCCTCAGCGTATAGCAAGTCTTCCTTGTCACGTTCCAACATATCTAACAGCTGCCGCTCCTCCCCCTCAATTGCCCCCACGTCTTTTATGCTCCGTGTGCGGGTACAAGGGCGCATACAAATGCAAAAAATGCGCTATGCCATACTGCGACATAAACTGCCAGGGCGTCCATGCTGAAACACGCTGCGAACGTCGCGTCATCTGAGTCTCTCTATAGTAATCATATTGTCAGCATCCATCATCCGCAGGTAATTACCTCTGCCGTTGCAATATCTTTTTCAACTCAGTTAGCAGGAAAACTAGGGTCCACCACATCGTGAAACGTCTATATAACTGGTCAACTTGGGTGCAAGCTGCCCTCAAAACCGAAACCTCTTCCATCGATTTAGCATGCCAAAGGGTTATCTGCTGACTTTGACGGGCATCGCTTCACTGACCTGTGAAGGACGTCAACCAGTGATTTCTTGCTTTCCACTCTTCATTTTGCGTTTTCAATGATGTGATACAGCGTCGGAAGACAGCAGATGGTAGTGGTAGGCTTATGGCCATCTTTTGATACCTTCACACAAGAATTTGCAGCAGGACGAAATTGGCGTGTTCAACTCATTGATTCCTTGCATATCTTCGACTTGTTGTGGTTGTTCTATGAGAATAGCCATTGCATGCCGAAGAATATGAGAGCATCGTCTGTCTAGGTCAGGGGGTCCCTATCAGAAAAACACTCTACCAGAAAAGTTTCCTTCCTCACCATACTTTGAGCATCACACGACAGGTTTTACAGATGCCGAGGCATAAAACGCACGGGACATGTGCAATCCACCATCGTCGACGCTGATCTCCATGCATCTATACAAAACAGGGTGAAATGCGCCGCATTCAATCGTAAGACACTGCCAGGCTTGATATAATACATGGTCTAGATAATAACCGATTCAAGAAAAATGAAACATGCAATCAGTAAGTGGAAGAATGTGAAGTTGTAGCGTGCTTGTGTAAAAGAGCTGAACGAAAACAATTGTCGATGTCATCAGAGGAACGTGGATATCATGCGGTCGTGTGATTATGCCATTAGGCGGTGTAAGGTATATACGTGAAGCAAGTCTGTAGATGGGCCGACAGTGGTTACGAGAGCCCTATCTTGCGGAACATCTCTTCGAGCGTTTTGAATGCTACGGGCTTGACAAGGCTGGTGTGAAGGTGATGTTAATTAGTGGGAGGTTTGGAAATTCGACCATGCTTACTATCCGCTCATGCCAGCCTCGAACGCCCTGCGTTTGTCTTCAAGGGATGACATCCCAGTTAAAGCTAGGATGACGCTCGGCTGCCGACTTTCTCGAGCTTTTTCAAGCTGGCGAATCTCGACGGTAGCACCCAGCCCTATGAGAAATGTGAGAACAGTCTTTGAACGAGTTAGGTACTAGGCACACCATCGAGGATAGGCATGGACAGATCAAGAAGAACGACGCTGAATTCGAGTAATGAGCGAGTTGTAATCATGTAAAAAAATATAGTCCCACTCAAAGGGTCCTTCAGATTCAAATGTTTCGACTCCTTGTCGACCATCGACTGCCTCGCGATATTCAAATCCCTTGTGAAAATGAGTAGGTTGATTGAGCTAGCAGATAGGTGACATTACCTTCTTCATCAACCACTTAATACTGGGAGATGAGCGCATGAGTTACTGAAAACATAGCTGGCTTGATTCACGCACAGTAAGCTTCGCAAAATGTTGTTGTCTTCAACCACCAAAATTTTCGGACGAGGGCGATTCAAATCCAGTGTCCGGATTGATGACTCCAAGAGTATTCCGTCTGTACCGATGGTTACTGTTGAACTCGACATGCTCGAGGATGTGCTGTCAGACTCAGTATTCTCCGGAGAAGACGACGCTTCCTCAACATCCGGCGATGCTGGCATTTCAGGTGGGGAGTTAGGAAATGCGAGAGCTGAGCGACTGTGTGAACCCCAATCAATGCTCGTTCGGCGATGCCGGTCTGGATTCGTTAAGTCGTCTGTAAGCATGCAGGAGTGCAGAGAGATGCTATCATCTGAGATCCCGGTTACTGAGCTGGCAAAGCTTGGCAGACGTTGTTGACGTCTTTGCCTGGCTCGAAGTAGTTGTTTCAGCGCAGCGCGCAATCGGAAAGGCCCTCCTGGTTTGTGAACAATGCGACAGAAACCACCAAGGCTCTCGTAAGAACTGCAAATCCCCATGGCCCTCGGACTACCTCTACTTGAAGACAAGATGATGAACGACCGACGGTAGTCCATTTTCTCAAGAGCGGTAACAACAGGTGACGAGTCTTCGTTTATGATCACGATGTCGCTCAACTCACCTCCGTCAGTCTGTACTCTGAATCCCCACCAGTCCTGGAGGTACTTGCGAAGCACATCACTGAGCATCTGAACACCTTTGCTCTTCTGCTTGAACCCGAGGAAGGTGACGGTGGGGATAGCACTGTCAAACATGAAAGGAGTTTGAAGAGCACTTGCGCCATCTTCCAAAGATTCTGCTTGGAAGGTGATCTTGATATCAGTACCAACGTTTTCTTCGCTGGATACTTCCACTTTCCCGCCCACGCTTGGAGACTGGACGATGCTGTTGACAATCGCAAGGCCTAAACCTGTCCCAGCTTGTAGAGGGTTCTCTTGAGAAAAGGGATGGAACAAGTGATTCTGAGTTCTTTGTTAGTAAACGATGACCACTGGTCTGGTGAACCCGTTACCTTCAGAAAATTTTGGCTGATTCCCTGTACCAAGTGTCAGCATTGAACGAACTATCGCACCCAGTTTAATACCTTTCCCGTATCACTGACACATAACTCCACCATGCTAGGCTCTTCATTTGGCGCAGATACTTGGCGTAAAGATACGTGAACGTAACCATCCTGCGCAGTCATTAGGAACCACTCTCAAGAAGCATTGAATCATACTTACGGTCGTGAACTTCAGGCTGTTTCCAAAAAGATTCATCAACACCCTTCGAATACCACCTTTATCGCATTTCAGAATCCATCCCTATACGACAGTCAGCGGTCAACAGGAAGGAATGGCTTGGAGGACTTACGCCTTCTCGTCGGTCGATATCGACAATAATCTCCACATGCTTCGAAGAGGCTGGAGCAGCCATGACACTCGAGGATCGCTGCTCCATTGCTGGAGCATAAACACTCCCGATTTCCGACTCGCGAATGGCAGATGTACGAGCACAATATCCAATCCACGATCCATCGATTGCCTCTTCAACAAGTTGCTCGAGATCCACACTGTGTCAACCATAAGCAACAACATGCATAAAAGCCATCCCAGCTCACATGCTTCTCGTAATGACATTATCCACGCCGCCTGATTTCATATTGCCGCTAAGTTTCGTAAAGTCGAGAACGTGGTTCACCGTTTCAACAAGTGATGTCCCGCACGCCTGGACGGTGTGCAGGAATGAAGTCTGGCTATGGCTTAACGATGTATCGGAAAGTAATTCAGCCGCAGCGAGAATCTACACGAAGCCATTAGGAGGAAGACATCCCAGCAAAGACGTCAATCCTTACCCCATGCAAAGGAGTACGAAGCTCGTGAGATATGCTTTTTTTGAGAGAAATTAGTCATGTTACCCATGAAAGCGAAGCATGCACCAAACTTGGATATAAATAAACTCTTTGCTTGGTCGGCTAGCATCATCCTCCTCTTGAGGACAGCAGAGAGAATGATGACACCTATTCTCTCTCAGTGATTATCTAGACGAAAGTTGGGGAACCAACCAATAGCACGAAGATAAGACAATTCGTGTCCCTCGAGCTGAAAATAAAGTTAAGATGGAGGTGTCTCACTGAACTAGCCGAATCCTTACAAATCGCCGCGATGAATCAGTGGCATTGTAAGCACAAATCAAGGCAAACGGCCTTTTGTCGATATTGAAAACAGGAACAGCTTAGCAAATATCATCAGTGGAATAGAAGAACGTCAAGATAGAAAAGACATACTGAGTGCATACTGTATGTGCGTTGGGATGAAGGGACGGAAGCAGACTGGTAAAATGCCTTCAGATATTTTGCCGTCAGGGTATTGATCAAAGAACACGTTTAGCTTGTGGTATTCATCAGCCGTCAGTGTGCGAGATGTTGATCGGGGTTGTGGATCCCCGCGATGCATGACAACAGATATCGTTGCTTCGGCACTGAGAGTCTCCAGTACTTCGCAGTGTGAAACATCCATTACTACCACCTCCTCGACATCTAAAGTGCGCTTCACAAGTCTGGCTGCACGATCATACACTCTGTCCATGGATGCGTTAGCATAAGGGTCATCATCCATATTTGCATCGTTCTGGTCGATCTCAAGGCACTCTCGACTAAATTGCTCCATCTGAGATGCAGTGAGTCAACGTACAGCGGATGGTACTGAGACAGACGATGCTCACGGAGGTCTGGATTTTGTCTCGTATGCGCAGTTGGATCTGGGTTGGTTAGTTCATGGGGGGAAGTACAACAGCTAACCTAGCTCACTTTATCACGCCACAATTCCATCTCACGCATCACAACAGCCTAGAGCTTGTGTTAACAGAATGAGGAGGATTGAATTATAACCCAAGTACCGCAAATTCCTTCAGAGTGTGTCGTTGACGCGGGGCGAAATCCTGCCGAGGTGAATCGTCGATCAAAGAAAGACTGAGGTAGGCGGTATGTCAACTGAATATGTCGCGTAGATAGCGACTCGTGTTACCTGCCAATGTTGAATCCATCGGAGGTTCTTAAAGGAGCCGCAGCATAAAAGCGAACGTTTGGAAATCCGGTAACCAGAGGCTACACCATTCAGTATATTCGTCAGATGAACTTTCACATCAAGGTGCACTAACATTCTTAGCAAACCGCCAATCTAACTTCGTGTCCAGGATAACAGTTGGTTCATCACCCCTGCGGACAGTAAGACTGAAGTTCTCAGGGGAAAAATATCCACACCTTTGCAATATAGCGTGTGCACAGAAGGACGTCAATCTTGCACTGCGCTTTAGAGTCATCCCACCTGCAAAAGATTGGAGATATACGGAAATGTCAGGAATTAAGCACCATACACTGTGATTTGAACCATCTGTAGTGGTGATTACCAACAGCTTTGCGTTGAACTCCAACTAATACTCACTGCTCTGTGCCATCGATGAGGGATATGTAAACGCATTTCGTGTTGAACACAAGTTTGACCAGGTGTGCAATGCGATCGAAGTTGATATCGGGGCCGGTGTTCCAGAGGTTAAACCTATTTTACACGCTCTCTGAGATGACCTTCAAAGGTGAAAAACGGATATACTTGTATAGAGCGCGCCTTCGCTCGAGCTCGTCCGGAGGGTTCGGCGGCGCTAAATAGCCAAGATCTAGGAACATCTGCTCCTCCTTCGCAGACCGACCAGCACGAAAGCTATTGACGGAGTCGCATACTGATCTTCCGCCTGGTAAGCCACGATCTCTGCCGTTGCTGTCGGGTAGGGGCGAAGATGTTTGCCTTGTTAAACAAATCCTTCGTGGAAGGGGTGGTGCCGTACAAACGTTGAGTTCCATTGGCCCAGATTCACGTCTGTGGGTTACGTACTCCTGCCAAAGTTGAGCGGGGTCGGGGGTCATGGGAAATGGCTCTGAAGCGGATGTACTGACTGCGGTGAAGTAATCGCCTTCCTCTGTCGGCTCAGGCGAATAATTACGCTGCAATGGAACAGATGCTGGCGGGGGAAGAGACACATATAACTCTCCCTCAGTTATGTTGCGTAGGGGTGTTCTGGGTAATGATCCGGGTAGGGTGGGCACCGTTGATTCATCTTCGACATCTTGTGTGCCCTCCCAAAAGCTGCCTGCGCGGATGCGAGACATGCCGGGCGTTGTCGGATGGGCAGGGGGACTACTGGTAGCCGGATGTGATCCTGGTATTGCTGCATGTACACCTCGCATTGGATCTGTTAGCTCATGCTCAGGAGAGGGCAACGCAAGAGGAGACAAATTAACGCGTGCTGCTGCCCATCGCATGGTTGCAGCCGCAGCAGTTGCCTCCGGACTAATGCTAAAGCTTTGTGTCCCATCTAAAGGGAGATGCATTGGCTGCCCTCCTGTTGCGTGTCGCAGATCTGTGAATGACTTGCGGAACCTGCGGCCACTAAGCGACGATGACTTTGGTGTAATCTTTGACAATAGTTTGTCAGGATAGATGAATGAGGGAAAATCAGAGACCATCACCGCTTTCTCTGCAGCGGGCTTGAACTCTGTCTCATTGCTACTGCAATTGGAAACCGAGGAAGAAATAAAAGTGTGGTAAGCAGGCGATACAGGAGGCGAAGGCTGCCGTGATTCGATTATGATCGGTGCAGGATCATGTCTCAACGCAAAATTGTCTCGCGGAGAACTCTCTCGCATGATAAGAGTAGACATCATTGCACGCGGATGACGAGGCGTTTGATGAGGGTGCCACTGACCCAATGCGTATGCAGTCATGAAGGTAGCCCAGTCGTGCTCGGCTGCATCGATGTCGGGTCGGCAAGGAGTACTTGTCGCGGCCGCAAGTGTTTCATAAGGACTACCAGATGAAGCTGAATGAGCCAACAGGGTAAAGATGACACTCAGAATTTACGCTGATCTGAATGGGGAGGCACACACCCAAGTCTGCAGGGCGTACTTCGAATGACTTCATGGATAAAGCATCGGTGTCTCGAGTATCATCTACTTCCTTTGAAGAAAACTGTCATAGTGGTGCAGTGACCCTACGGGCATCCAAAAGAGAGACTTACACGAGGATCCAGGCTCCTGGGGATGTGACTATCATGTAAACATGCCATCTGGGGCGCAGGGGGTAGGTATGATTGAGTACCCTCTGCCATAGAGGCAGTCGCTGGTCGCGGAAGTCGAGGACTTCGCTGCCTCACCTTGGGCAAACGTGGAATGGGCATTTGAAACGTTGATGGCAAAGAAAAAGGCTTTGCGAGAGATAGAGATGATGGAAGTGAATCTAGAGCTGTATCTGTTATTGTCGAGGACTGCATGGTAGTAGTCCGAAGAGTTTATGCAGTACGAATGCAGTGTATCCTTTCAGTAGTCGTGAAACAATTACTAGGTACAGCTACGCGACGATCACTGATTGGAGCTGTGGTCATTACCCGGAGGATGCTGAAATGGGAAGTTAACCACAATTCAAATGAAGCAATTAATAATATCAACAAACTACAGCACCAGTAGGGAGGTTGAGGACAGAATGTCCAGTGCCGTCGGTAGTGATGGTAGAGTAGAGAGGAATCTTTGTGAAGTCGGCGGTCGCCTTCATCGAAGAAGGGTTATTGGCATGCTTACTAAGCGCCCCACCAACACAACCCCGTGCCTCATTTGACGTCAGGAACCAGGTCAAGGCCTTCCATTTTTGTTTACATTCTTTTTCTTGCGAATTTAGTGGAAACATTAATGAAAATTAGGATGGAGCACGAGTGTATTCCGTCAGCGCGCCATGCTATGTCCGCGATCAAAAAAAAAATTCTAGTATGGCAACCCCACTACACATCGACAGCTACAAGTAAACTCCACATATACAACGGAAGAGTCAAGTTGTCGTTCTGGTCTGACAGGGCCTCAAGTGCACATGAGAGAGAGACCACGATAGCATAGCGCAATGTCTGCGGTTTCAGGGTTGTGTTAGATTAGGGGCACCAGAAGCGGACGAACTCACCGAAAATTCTTCCGTAAGTCCGCAAAGTCTCAAAAGCCACGCGCAACCCACGAGGGACATCACAAATGCAGCACTACCTTCTAGGGTTTTAGAGGACGATGAAGACCAACGGTGCCGACCAACACGTTTCCCAATAATAGATGCCTGACAAAGACGTCCAATTCAATTGATAATTTTCAAAATCCGCACCGACAGAAAGGAAACTAACCAGAGCATCGCCAATACCCAAAGCGAGGATACCGGTATATTGCAGCAACTGTGATGGGCTACAATGATTTAGATCCTGCTTGGGACTTCATCTATGTCAAAGACGTACTCTTCAAGCCACAATGGGCCCGCGCAGCCAGTAAGCAGATAAAAGTGACTGAGGATGGCAGTTCCACTGTCCTTTTGCTCAAGGAACTCGTTCATGAACAGGTGCACAGCCGCACCAAAGGGATAAATGGCGAAGTATCTAACATACTCTGCAAAGATAAAGAGCGCAAATGCTGCACTGAAGGACAAGTGAGTGAATGCGGGCTAGAGATACTCGTGAGACTACTGGTAGTATGGATGGTAGAAGGCTACTGACGTCAACAGCCACACCAGGTAGAAACATAACAACTGCCAACGCGTGGAAGAACTTGCGCCTCGCGTTGATACCAAGTGTAGGAACGTGCTTATCCGCGGCATCCAATAATTCTGTGGCGACTTGCGAACCATTGGACAGATTAGAGAGATTAGCCAAGTTGGGGAATGTAAGCCCAAGTGTAGTGGTGGGAGTGGGTGAAGATATCTCCGTTTGTGGTTTCTGATTCGAGTTCACAGCAAATGGAACGATCACATTATCTTGCGTACCCCCACTCGTGTTTCTATGTCTGTACCGCCTTGACCTCGATAGCTGTCGGTTCCATCCGGCAACGCTGATGCTTCCGAGAAGGCCCCAGTAGGCAAGAAGCATGGGCCGACTCCACTTCTTACGCCCCTCAAGAAGCCAAAGGATAGCCCAAAACCACGGATTTCTACGTCCGAGGTTCCACCACGTCCACGAACCAATAAGACCAACGACAATGATTATCGTTCCAATGTAAAAACCCGCGGCAAGCGCTCGTCGATGCCGTTGCTTCTCCTGTGGAAGTCGAAGACGCCTCACCGGTCGTTGCGCGATATGCCGTGATAGGGCGAGAAGAGGAGAAAGTAGGAAGCCGGTAATGAAAGAACCTGCGATCAGCGCAATCTGGAAAATCAACAGGGGTGTTGGCAGGCGGTAGGTCTCGATGAATGGTGCTGTTTTCGGCCATATCTTAGCGAGAAATCAGCATGAAGATTTTGAAGCAAAAGCCCGACAGACCCTCGCTCTAGTCAATCCCAGCAGTTCTGTAGCCAAGGACAGCCCGCCAAAGCAGACAAGGGCCAATTCACCCAGCGTGAACCCACCATGCGCGAGGCGAAGGGCACTATATAAGCAAAGTTGGTAGAACAACGAGCCGATGCCAATATCGAGATAGCTAATATCTGGGTAATCAAGGTGTAAACATCTCAGGAGAATTTTAAAAAAAATTGATTCACTTCGCCATATAGGAATCTCCACCAACGCAAAAAGGTATCGAACAGTCATGGCCAACATGGTCATGACGAAAGTGAAGAGCACGTAAAGCCATGTTCTACGCATTTCACTACGAGGAACAGAGCCCCGCTCTCCCTCAGGGACGCTAGGACGTCCGCGATAGCGTGTCTCAATGATCCACGACGAACATATTTGGGCCAGTAATATAAACGAACACATTGTGGAATAGTCCACTAGGCCACGACGAGATTGTATGAGAGCATCGATCGCGGAATCAGGTGATCGAGGGTTATGGAGTACACTGGGGGCTTCTATCAACCAATGAGGTGGAGGAAGATTGGGATCAGAGGAAGGGGAGTGAACCTGCCGCAAGGCCGAGTATAATAGCGCTAGCGCAATCATAGGTGGGAGTAGGAGCCCTGTGAGGACGCCATCGTTCGGAGACTCCCTGTGGGGAGTTCATTCCAGTGAACACGAACGCCTAGGAAATGACATGCCTGTAATTCTTTGGGACACTCATCCAAATGAAACTAAAGCGTGGTTTAATTGCAGGGCTCAACTGAGAGCCACTGCGCCTAATTTCACGAGTCTCAGTACGAGGGGACGCTGTATGGCGAGACTCTGGAGCAGTAGGTGCAGCGGTGTTGAAGTGCGGTAGTATAATGTGTGCACGTATAATGTAGAGTATAGCTACGATAAGGAGGACATACATCTCTGCAGTCGAGAATTAGTACCGAGATAAAATTTTGCACATGTGTGAAAAATATATTCACCTGTGGATATTGACAAGTCAATGATGTCATGAGTGTCATCAGAGAATTTCTTGTTGAAACAAGCTAAAGATCCGATGAGGAGAAGTGATTCTCCCATATATCTAGTGTCCATGCAGAATGTCCAAGTTCCAAGGTAAGGGAGGGAAAGGCTGCCAGATATCATTGCTGGCAATAGAGTGTGCGCAACTGGAAGCAGTTTGTGCCGCTGAGGAAATGAAGAAGCTCCAGAAGGTAGGTGTGCTGCATTAGTTGCATTGTCGAAGGTCCGTGGATGGGGCGAGCGTGAACGAGTGAATGACATTCTTCGTGGCAAGGATCCAATTTGCTTGGCATCGTTAGAGTGATCAGGAGGGATGGGGCCAGATCTCTGTTGAGATGGAGACGTCCCGTGCCGCCTTTTCCTGATAGCATCTCGAGCGTCCCTTTGCAAGCCCTTTTGAGAATGACGGCGTCCTCGAACGTCATGAGGCTCGTCATCCGAATCCTCCTCGGTTGTTTCACTACTTGACTGATCGCTAGATTGAGTACACAGCATGAGCTCCCTTATACTTGGTGAGCTGGCATAATTCCTACCTTGAAGACCCTGCGTGATAGGTTGAACTCAATTCCACATTAGTATGATCTGGTTGAACAGCTGCCGCCGTGGCCCCAAACGGGCCTAGGTGACGTTTTGCAGGCCTAGAACTCAAGAATTGTCTTCTAGACAAGTCCGCACGCCCAGATGCATTTCTTGCAGACGGCGGCGAAGGCGAAGAGTTTGAACGCGGCAGTTTGGCGAAATCCTAAGGTAGAACTATGAATTTGGCACGTTTCGAATATAGAGGCGACTTCGTGAGTGAAGAAAACAAGGACAAGCAAAAGACACCGAAACCTGTTATGGCATTTACATAAATTAGCAATTAAAATGTAGGCTCCCCCGGGAAGGGGTTCATGTCGCGACCGCTCGCGGGACTAGACTCCCGCGTTTTTCTTCTCTTCCATAGCCTCTCAGTGTCATGTCGGATGAACAACGCGTCGTCTACCTGGAAGATGTCGACACCGCAGTAGTTTCGACTTCTAACGCGGAAAAAGACTCCGAATCATCTAGTTCAAAATCACAAGATGGCCCAGCCAAGGCCACAGTCACCGCAACACAGGCGACAGGCACCTTGAAAAGGCAGAGAACTCTCATGGATATGCTATCTGGAACACAGGATTGCCAAAATGCAAAGCCCGCGGCTAAGAAACTGAAGCTAGGCGCCTCGTCGTCAGGCCCCGACTCTGCTAAAATTACGGTCGCCGGAGTTCAGCGTTTGAATGCGATACCTTTCTCTCTGTCTCAATACGTCGAATCAATTCCGCAGGATCAGAAACATTTGCTAAAGCTAGAATCCGAATGCATGGGCAAGAGCTGGTGCGTTCGGGCTGTTCACATAACAACGCCGTGTTATGTTCTGTTCTGATAAGACACCGTGTTGATCATTTTCCCGTTGACGCCGAACCATTCTTCAGGTTGAAACTTCTAAAGGAAGAGATCAAAAAGCCATATTTTATCTCATTGAAGAAGTTCCTGTGGGAGGAAGGAGTCCATGGCCCTGACGAGAGTGCTAAAAATCTCAAAGTGTACCCTTCACGTATGTTTCCTTTCGCGAAGAGAACTAGTCAGCCGAGTAACTGAGCCCCGTGAGCAGCAAAAGATATTTATGCGTGGTCTAACACGCCCCTCGGAAAGGTGAAGGTCGTAATCATTGGCCAGGACCCCTACCACGGTCCGAATCAAGCTCATGGTGAGCCGTTCCTATACCGCTCTTGATCCCAGGTTAATGGGCGTCACGCGACTTTTAGGCCTCTGTTTCTCCGTCCCCAAGGGCGTCACTGTGCCGCCTTCCTTGAAAAACGTGCGCAATCTCTCACTGGTAATTGATCATCACGCCTCATTCTTGCATTTCTAGATCTATGCTGAGATAAAGGCCGAATACCCCGAATTCGAACCTCCTAAGCATGGGTAAGCATCAGATAAGGTGGATGAGTCCGAATTATGTATGTACTAACATGAACTTCTGAATAATAACCAGTAACCTCACGGCGTGGGCTGATAATGGTGTCCTCATGTTAAACACCTGTCTTACTGTGAAGGCAAACAAAGCAGGGTCCCATTCCGGCAAGGGCTGGGAAGAATTTACTGACAAGGTTGTGGACGTAGTTGATAAGTATGGCGGTGCCAATCTTTCGTCCGGCGGTGATTCCGACATGAACGGGATTGGGCGTGGAGTGGTATTCTTGGCTTGGGGGTCATGGGCCGCAAAGCGTGTGGCTAAACTCAGCAAGGTAGGTTCATCAAGGCCCCATCGGTGGCGTTCGAGCGCTGACTAGGAATGCCCAGACGAAACACTTGATTCTTACTAGTGCCGTGCGTCCTCGAATACTTGGATTTGGTGGCATTCTTGACTGACTTCCGAAATAGCACCCTTCGCCCTTTAGTGCTCATAAGGGTTTTCTGGGCAATGGTCATTTCAAGGCTGCGAATGGCTGGCTCGAGAAGAAGTATGGACCTCAAGGCAAAGTCGACTGGTGCAATCTGGATTAATTGAACTAATCAACGCATGCGAAGCATAATATACCAACCTTGTTAATATACCTACAGGATACTGCCTACACAGATTGTATACATTGCGTAGTTTTTGCTAGTGGGTCTAGATCTGTTGGAGCTCGTGAACCGACTGGATAAGGTGAGTCCCGACGATATAGCGGGAGAATCTAGGACGCAACACGTCTTAGGTTGCGAGTACAATATTTATGCAGCACAGATCTCCAAGAATCTCGCAAGTTCCCACAATCGATCAGAATATTAATCACATGCCCATGCCCATGGATACCCCGTCACTTTGTATCAGATAAACTGGCGCCAAAAAAAATGAACGCCACCATCAGATGAGTGCTGGAAAGGGTGACAGAGGGTGCTTTGTTCCGGTGCGACTCATGCGATAGTCCCATGATGCGTCGTCGGAGGCGGTCGCCAGCAAATGGACAAAACAAGAAAAGGTTACCTTGGCACGGGATCTTTATGTAAGGACTATATTTGGCTATCAAATATGGTCGTACCCGCCCAGTGGCTGTACGGTGCCTGTCACCTTAATCGCTTAAAGAGGAAATTTGGTAAATTTGGTTCAGTTATGAGTGACTCATCGTCGATTCGAACCGACTCGAACGCAATGGGTCGTGCTGGATCATGTCCGAGCATCGGAATTGCCAGCATGACAGGCAGAATTAAAGCTATTACATGGAAAGAATAGTTTACCAGATAGCTGTGTATACATCTATTGTAAAATTGACTAGGTGGCCTAAAAGAAAAGTTCGCGAGCGATAGCGATACAGGCGTTGTTAAAATCATTTAGCAATGAGCAATGACAATCTCGAGGTCGTGCGAGGAAGGGACTGGTAGTACAAAGGATGAGAATAGTTACGACAAAAACGGGAATTAAGAAGTACAGGACGACGACAATGATAACAACTGAAAGGTCACCGAAGGGCATTAGGATGCTTGCCGTGAGAGGTATAATGAGATCGCGGATCTTGCGCAGACGGGGCTGGCGATGCCAGGCGCACAGCCTGCGAATGCGGCGGGGGGCTCGGCAGGTGCAAATCGGTGCCTAACGGTCTGAACCCAGAAGGTTCATTGACTGAACGTCGTTGTGGGTACTGTATTGATGTATGCGGCAGGGATGTGCGCTGTGGGTGATGATTTTGGGATGGATGAATAGGATGCTGAGCCGGTGGGGACATGGCATGATCTTGATTGAACTGGGAGGGTTGATATGAGTAGGGATAATGTGCGTTTTCTCGGACATCGCATAGAAGATAGTTCATATCATTATATCCAGTGGCAACGGGCCTATCGGCGGTATGTGCATAGTTTGGCTGAATAGAGTGCGCAGGGACGCTACTTGAAATCATAGAGCGAGGAGGCGGCATCGGATTTGAAAAAGTGAATTGATGGGAGCCCTTCTGGGACATAGCCGGAGGAACTGGGCGAAGACTATAGGAAGCGGACGACGAAGATGATACATGAGAGCCCTGCGACTGTTGATCACTCATCATAAAACTTTCTTCCCAATGACCGTCGATTACAGGGGGGCTACGCAAGTTACCGCTGACAACGGAGGGAGAAGCGGATTCTGAACGACCCGGAGAAGGTGATTCTGCGACGGGCGATGACTCTCGGCTTTTAGAAGAGTTGGATTGGGCAGCAACAGGCGTTGTCTCAAGAGACTTTGATTTATCCTTGCCTGTCGGACCTTTACCGAGAGATGGGCGGTTAGCTGCAGGTAAATTGAGTGCAGCTCTTAAGCAATTATTCTCTTCCTCGAGCTCCGATACTCGCAACTCGAGAGCCTGGAAAAGGAGTGAAATTAGATGATGATTGGAAATAGAAGTTGGATAAAAATGCCGCACTTGTAGATGAGCAGCTCGCCGTGCACGAAACGCTCTTTGAACATCCCTAGCTCTATTAGGAGGGAGGTTATCATTGCGCTTGCGACCACGCTTTGAGGACATTTAAATTTAAAAGTGATTGAGGATGAAAAAAAGGCGGTAGGAGATGAAGGCGGGGAGGAAAGGACCTAAAGAGAGGGAAGGCAGGAGAACATATAAAAAGGGACCACTTCATCGGGCAAGCCAGATCTTTGTGTATCACGTCCGCATTCGATCCCTATTCGATCAAGTCACAGGCTGGACCTTGCCTGGGCCAGATCTACTTTTTTGGCTCCGAACCGATCTCCGCACAAACTCAGTCACTTGCCGTTTTCGGCAACCCGGATTTAGTAATCTGAGTCTTGTCATGATTCCATGAGCCACGTCAATTAATTCACTGACTATAGGTTACAATCTTGTGAGGCCGTGTTTACCTCGATACGACTGCTGTACATTCTTCTTCCTCGATTCTGAGTACAACTACCACCGCAGTCGTACCTGTTCTTCGATTATTATGTATCTGGAAGTACCCTTTTGGAAGTCACAGGGGACACTCTATAAGATCTGCTACGTAGTCACTCCAGATATATATACGTCATCATTGTAGAGCCATATATTATAAAAACTATGTATTTCAAGACACGGTGGCGTTAAGGTACTGACAATATGACAAATTGCCAAAGCTTCAACAATGTGACAACGGTGGAAACCGCGGGCCCAGTCCTCCCCACTTCCAATCAAGTCCGCCCCATCGCTCGTTGCTCTTTCCGTGCGGTAGCTTTGTCCTTATCGCGACGGGAAAATAATTTGTGGCGTGGTGCTGCATCTCGCGCGAGTTTCTTGTTCATCGACTTGTTCTGCTCAACATACGACATATGTTGAGCACCACTCAATGCCGTGAGAGATCCTGTCGTCCGTTGCGCTGTCGGAAACCTTGTAGGGCCAAAGTCTTTAGATGTCACCGTTCCTGCCAAGTCTCCCTCATTCCCGCGTATATCCGTCCCTAGATCAGCTTCGCTCTCGTTTGCTAACAGCACAGATGAAATCAACTCGATTTGCTCATCCTTGGTCTTGTAAACCAAATCTTCCAGCTCCTCAAGTCCGTCCAGGTGCGTAATCACCTTGAACGCATAACCCTGGTCAATCAGAAATTGCTGTCGTTTGGTGCTGTAAAACATCTCTTGGGTATCTTTGGAAACCAGCGAGTAGAAGAAAGCATTGAAGCCTTCATCGTTACGCCGCTTCGCTCGTAAGATGCGACCTGTGAAATCACCGTCGCTGTCTATGAAATTCTAGAGTAAAACATTGCCATATCAACATACCCAAGCGCTGAGCTTCTTGTCGCCTTGACCCGAAATGTGAACTAATTTGAATAAGGCATGTAGCTTCCGGCAGATCTATGGACGTATCGCCGACCTGCGCAAGAGAAGTCAATGAAGAGTCTCTTTCTGCTTCATGTCGTAAGATGTACCTTGGACAGGAAAATGGTGTTGACATTAGAATCATGCTGGAACCATTGCAACACCCGCATCCGCTCAACCTGCCCGGTACCACCGTGGATATAAGGCTTCCCGAGTTTCTTGGCGTACGCCTGGAACACTTGAGCACATGTAACCAGAAAATTGTCAGACGTTCTTACCTCAAGTGCAAAGACATTATCGGAAAAGACAATAACTTTGTCTCCTCTCGCCTCGTGGAATTTAATGAGGAATTGACACGCTT